GGCGGGCGGAGCGGGTGGGCTCCGCCTCCGCGGCTCGCTCCGCAAGCGGCCTCGGCACCGCCCGCCCCCCCACCCCCCCCGTGTCCAGGCGACGCGTCGGGGGCGGGCTCCGGGACGCGTGCCCTGCGCCCCGGGCGACGGGGGGGGCGAATCTCTCTCTCTCTCTCTCTCTCTCTCTCTCTATATATATACACATATATATATAGAGAGAGAGAGAGAGAGAGAGAGAGGGGGGGGGGAGCGAGGGAGAGGAGGGGAGAGACGGAGAGGGGGGCAGAGGAGCGTGGCCGGGGGGAAAGAAAGGGGTGGGGGCGACTCCTTCCACCTCCCTGCTCCTTGCCATCCCCACTCCCCGCCGCTGCCCCCCCCCCCCCCTTCTCCCCTTCCTCTCTTCTGCCGTTCCCCCTCCTGCCCTCTGCCTCGCCCCCCTCTCTCAAAAGAGGGATCGCCCGACGTCCACAGCCTCACGGAGTGAGCAGCGGGCCTAGCTGGAAGCTTGAAGACCCAGACGTGTTTGGCAAGCTTTTTGAAGCGCGAGCGGGGGACCTTGCACCGCACGCTGCCCAACTCCTTCGTGGGCAGCAACAGCGAGCTCAGGGCCAGCGCGGGCGGGGTGCCACATACGTCGAGCGCTGCCAGACTCCTCCTTCGGCAGCAAAAGCGAGCTGAGGGTCACCTGCATCGATAACTTATAAAGCCATTCGTGGGCAGCAAGGCATCGTTTCTGTACAACGACATGGGCCCAACCCGACGATTGGCTATGAGCAGTGCACAGGGGAAAGCCAAGGATCTTCTCACAAGGTGTGTGAGACTCTTGCGCGGGCCTCAATTTACAGCTTGAGCTAGCCATGATGAGCAGGCAGAAGCTGCGGCGATTGCCGCCAAACTTGAACTGTCTGGACGTCTACACCAAATCATGGGAAGACTGTTGTATAAACCACAGCGGTTGAGCGACTTGGCACGTAACCCCACCCGCCGTTTGAGCGTGGGTTGCTTAAGCAAATCGCTCTTCCGATCCCCTTCCCGTATGAGAAGAAAGCAACTCGACACACACACACATGCACTTTTGCGCTGCGGCGCCTCCTCCTCCATCCAGTCGCCCTCCTCTCCGCTCTCCTCGTGCCCGTCCCCCTCGTTCGTCTGCTCCCCCTCCCAGTCATCATCGCCCAATCCCAATCCAATTCCTCATTACCACCATCACCATGAGTATCGCGACCGTCTTCGTCATCGTCATCGTCGTCGTCATCATCATCATATTCATCATCATCATCATCATCATCATCGTCGTCATCATCGTCGTCATCATCGTCGTCATCATCGTCGGCATCATCGTCAGCATCAGCATCAGCATCAGCATCAGCATCAGCATCAGCATCAGCATCATCATCATCATCATCATCATCAAGATCATCAAGACCCTGAAAGCCAAGAAAAAGCCGAGGAGCGCCCCAAGAGGACTGCGGCGCGGACCCTGACAGCCCAGGGACGGCCGAAGAGTGCCCCACGAGTGCCCTCTGGAAAACCTCCCCCTAAGGCCTAAGGATCCTTGGGGGGGGGGTTCTGGAAACGCGGTCGGCGACCTCCGGGAAGCCCGGAGCGCGCTTGTCCAGCAGCTTGCCCCTTCACAGAGGGAGGGCTGCACTTAATGTCCCGCCAACCCGCCCGACTGAAAAGAGCATGCCCCATCACAATATAACAGTTGCATTTAATGTCCCGCCAGCCCGCATGTTCCGCCTGTTAGGGGCCGTCTGCTCGACCTAACCTGCCCGCCCGTCAGAACACGCCAGGATTGAAAACCTGAGAATTGAAATTATCCCAGCAAAGCAACCTAACAGCGATGTGTATAAGCATATCTGGAAGTATTCCCCTTAAGATTCAGGTGAGAATCCAGTTGTAGAATTCTGCTGTTCTCGCAGTCGCAGTCGCAATGACAGTCGCAGTGGCAACGGCCTTAGGATCCAATGGAATCCAAAGGAATCCGAGGGATTCCTTAGGCATCCTTAGGAAACCTTAGGAATCCTGATTCTTAGGGATTCCTAGGGATTCCGAAGGATTCCTGAGGATGCTTAACAATGCCTACGAATTCCTAAGAATGCCTACGGATTCCTAAGGACTCCTAGGGATTGCTAGGGATTCCTAGGGAATCCTACGGATGCCTCAGCCTGCCTCAGTTTCAGCCTCAGCCTCAGCCTGCCTCGGCTTGCCTCAGCCTCAGCCTCAGCCTGCCTCGGCCTCAGCCTCAGCCTGCCTCAGCCTCAGCCTGCCTGCCTCGGCCTCAGCCTGCGTCAGCCTCAGCCTCAGCCTGCCTCAGCCTCAGCCTGCCTCGGCTTCAGCCTCAGCCTCACCTTGTCTCAGCTTCGGCCTGCCTCGGCCTCATCCTCATCCTCAGCCTCAGTCTCAGCCTGTCTCAGCCTCAGCCTGCATCAGCCTCAGCCTCAGCCTCAGCCTGCCTCAGCCTCAGCCTGCTTCAGCCTCAGCCTCAGCCTCGGCCTCAGCCTGACTCGTCTTGCCTCGGCCTCAGCGTCAGCCTGCCTCGGCCTCAGCCTCAGCCTCAGCCTGCCTCAGCCTCAGCCTGCATCAGCCTCAGCCTCAGCCTGCCTCAGCCTCAGCCTGCAGCCTGCAGCCTCAGCCTCAGCCGGCCTCAGCCTCAGCCTCAGCCTGCTCAGCCTCAGCCTCAGTCTGCCTTCAGCCTCGGCCTCAGCCTCAGCCTGCCTCAGCTCAGCCTCCTCAGCCTCAGCCTCAGCCTCAGCCTGCCTCAGCCTCAGCCTGCCTCAGCCTCAGCCTCAGCCTGCCTCGGCTTCAGCCTCAGCCTCAGCCTGCCTCAGCCTCAGCCTGTCTCAGCCTCAGCCTGCCTCAGCTCGGGCATTCAAAATATGGCACAGGACTGGCACGAAGATCACGAAGTGGCCCGCAAGTGGCTCCGGGCAATCAAAATATTGTACAGGAATGGTGTTCTGGGAACACGAAGAACACGAAGTGGCCTACAATTGGCTCCGGGCATTCGAAATGTGGCCTGGGAATAATGTTCTGGGAACGCGAAGAACACGAAGTGGCCTACAATGGCTCCAGGTATTAAAAATGTGGCCTGGGAACGGTGTTCTGGGACCACGGAGATCACGAAGTGGCCTACAGTTGGCTCCAAGCATTCAAAATGTGGCCTGGGAATGGTGTTCTGGGAACACGAAGAACACGAAATGACCTACCGTTGGCTCCGGGCATTCAAAATGTGGCCTGGGAATGGTGTTCTGTTGGCTCCGGGCAGTCAGAATGTGGCCTGGGATAAGGTTTTGGGGAGTCCCCTGTTTTCCCTGGCATCCCCCGGATCCTGCCCAGACCCCCCTGGGGCGTCAAGATGCTCTCTTTTGACCCTACTAGAAACCTATCAGTCTTCGCTGTTAGGTAAATATCAACTCCGACGACCTACCCGAATTGAAACATTGAAAACAAGGAGATCCTGAGAATTAAAACAATTAATTCCGACCTACCCGGATTGAACAATTGAAACATTGAAATTATCCCGGCAAAGCAACCTAACAGCGATGTGTAGGAGCATATCTGGAAGCATTCCCCTTAAGATTCAGATGAGAATCCAGTTGTAGAATTCTGCTGTTCTCGCAGTCGTTATCGCATTCGCGATGACAGTCGCAGTGGCAACGGCAGTCGCAGTCACAGCCTCAGCCTCAGCCTGCCTCAGCCTCAGCCTCAGCCTGCCTCAGCCTCAGCATCAGTCTGCCTTCAGCCTCGGCCTCAGCCTGCCTCAGCCTCAGCCTGCATGAGCCTCAGCCTCAGCCTCAGCCTGCCTCAGCATCAGCCTGCCTCAGCCTCAGCCTCGGCCTCAGCCTCCGCCTGCCTCAGCCTCAGCCTGCTTCAGCCTCGGTCTGCCGTCGGCCTCGGCCTCAGCCTGCCTCAGCCTCAGCCTGCATCAGCCTCAGCCTCAGCCTCAGCCTGCCTCAGCCTCAGCCTGCCTCAGCCTCAGCCTCAGCCTGCCTTAGCCTCAGCCTCAGCCTGCAGCCTCAGCCTCAGTCTGCCTTCAGCCTCGGCCTCAGCCTCAGCCTGCCTCAGCCTCAGCCTGCATCAGCCTCAGCCTCAGCCTCAGCCTGCCTCAGCATCAGCCTGCCTCAGCCTCAGCCTCAGCCTGCCAGCCTCAGCCTCAGCCTCAGCCTGCCTCAGCCTCAGCCTCAGTCTGCCTTCAGCCTCGGCCTCAGCCTCAGCCTGCCTCAGCCTCAGCCTGCATCAGCCTCAGCCTCAGCCTCAGCCTGCCTCAGCATCAGCCTGCCTCAGCCTCAGCCTCAGCCTGCCTCAGCCTCAGCCTCAGCCTGCTTCAGCCTCAGCCTCAGTCTGCCTTCAGCCTCGGCCTCAGCCTCGCCTGCCTCAGCCTCAGCCTGCAGCCTCAGCCTCAGCCTCAGCCTGCCTCAGCATCAGCCTGCCTCAGCCTCAGCCTCAGCCTGCAGCCTCAGCCTGCTTCAGCCTCAGCCTCAGTCTGCCTTCAGCCTCGGCCTCAGCCTCAGCCTGCCTCAGCCTCAGCCTGCATCAGCCTCAGCCTCAGCCTCAGCCTGCCTCAGCATCAGCCTGCCTCAGCCTCAGCCTCAGCCTGCCTCAGCCTCAGCCTCAGCCTGCTTCAGCCTCAGCCTCAGTCTGCCTTCAGCCTCGGCCTCAGCCTCAGCCTGCCTCAGCCTCAGCCTGCATCAGCCTCAGCCTCAGCCTCAGCCTGCCTCAGCATCAGCCTGCCTCAGCCTCAGCCTCAGCCTGCCTCAGCCTCAGCCTCAGCCTGCCTCAGCCTCAGCCTCAGCCTCAGCTTGCAGCCTCAGCCTCAGTCTGCCTTCAGCCTCGGCCTCAGCCTCAGCCTGCCTCAGCCTCAGCCTGCATCAGCCTCAGCCTCAGCCTCAGCCTGCCTCAGCATCAGCCTGCCTCAGCCTCAGCCTCAGCCTGCCTCAGCCTCAGCCTCAGCCTGCCTTCAGCCTCAGCCTCAGTCTGCCTTCAGCCTCGGCCTCAGCCTCAGCCTGCCTCAGCCTCAGCCTCAGCCTCAGCCTCAGCCTCAGCCTCAGCCTCAGCCTGCCTCAGCCTCAGCAGCCTCAGCCTCAGCCTGCCTCAGCCTCAGCCTCAGCCTCAGCCTGCCTCAGCCTCAGCCTCAGCCTGCTTCAGCCTCAGCCTCAGTCTGCCTTCAGCCTCGGCCTCAGCCTCAGGCTGCCTCAGCCTGCATCAGCCTCAGCCTCAGCCTCAGCCTGCCTCAGCATCAGCCTGCCTCAGCCTCAGCCTCAGCCTGCCTAAGCCTCAGCCTCAGCCTGCTTCAGCCTCAGCCTCAGTCTGCCTTCAGCCTCGGCTTCAGCCTCAGCCTGTCTCAGCCTCAGCCTGCCTCAACCTCAACATCAGCCTGCCTCAGCATTCAAAATGTGGCCCGGGAATGGAGTTCTGGGAACTCGAAGACCACGAAGTGGCCCACAGTTGGCTCCTGGCATTCAAAATCACGCCCAGGAATGGAGTTCTGGGAACTCGAAGACCACGAAGTGGCCTACAGTTGGCTCGGGGCATTCAAAATCATGCCCAGGAATGGAATTCTGGGAACTCGAAGACCACGAAATGGCCTACAGTTGGCTCCGGGCATTCAAACTCATGCCCAAGAATGGAATTCTGGGAACTCCATTCCGGATTGAACACTTGAAACATTGAAAAAGACACACAACCGTTTTTCAAATTTTCACTTTTTCAATCGGCGACACCAGAATTGATCTTAAAATTTTTCGGCTCTCAGCCTGCAACTCCACGATTGAGATTTTCAATTTTCAATTTTTCAATCCGAAAGCCTCGAATTTGGATTTCGTCGATTTTCTAATGTTCAATCCAGCGCCGGGGACCCAACTCAAACCACAAACACAAACCGTGCGGGGGGTTTCACCGACATGGAAGATGGAACTGCGTGCGGGCGCTGCCGCTGGGGCCTCCTTACGGGGCCACGAAGCGTGTGAAAGATGCGCCGCAACAGGAACTCCCTGTGGTGCCACGAAACGTGTGAGGGGTGTGCCGACATGGAAGGTGGAACCGCATGCGGGCGATGCCCCTGGGGCCTTCGGTGGAGCTCCCTATGGGGCCGCGAAGCGTGTGAGGGGTGTGCCGACGTGAAGAGTCGAACTGCATGCGGGCGCTGCCCCTGGGGCCTTCGGTGGAGCTTCCTATTGGGCCACGGCGCGTGCGCAGGGTGCATCGAAAGAAAGGTGGAACCGCATGCGGGCGCTGCCCCTGGGGCCTTCGCGTGTGCGAGATGCGCCGAAATAGAAGGTGGAACCGTATGCGGGCGCTGCTACTGGGGCCTTAGGCGGAACTCCCTGTGGTGCCACGAAACGTGTGATGGGTGTGCCGACATGGAAGGTAGAACTGCATGCGGGCACTGACACTGAAGCCTTAGGTGGTACCCCCTATGGGGCCACGGAACGTGAAAAGGGTGTGCCGACATGGAGGTTTGAACTGCATGTGGGCGCTGGCACTGGGGCCTTCGGTGGAACTCCGTGTGGGGCCACGGAACGTGAGGGGTGTGCCGACATGGAGGTGAAACTGCATGCGGGCACTGCCACTGGGGCCTTCGGTGGAGCTCCCTATGGGGCCAAGCAGCGTGTGATGGGCTGCATCGAAAGGGCGTGTAACCGCATGTGTCGAAACAGTGATATGTGGAGGACAGGGGTGGGATCTAGGATATGAGGAGGGGGAGGACAGGAGGAGAGGAACGCGGGGCGCTGTATCTTCAAAGCGAGGACCCAACACCACATGATGGCTGGGAGAAACATAGGAAGCTCATTCTTAGGCACACACACTGGACCATGTGGGGACACTCGATCCTCAACTCGTGCTGTCTTTCAACGAGGATCGTGGGGTTGCCCGCCTATCTTCTGCTGGGCGGTAGCCTGTCATCCCTGTCCCCCTCGTTACCGTGCATTTTTTTCCATGGCTGCGTGTCGACGTCATACGCGGTGCTTGCGGACACGCGTGCGCTTGCGCACAACGCCTCGTTCCATGCCAAGGGGGTCTTTCATCATTTGGTCGCCAAGGAGGAGGAAGAGGAGGAGGAGGAGGAGGAGGAGGAGGAGGAGGAGGAGGAGGAGGAGGAGGAGACATCATCCTATGGAGCGTGGCGGCCACGCGTCTGCATCGGTTCCCAAACGGCTGTCCATACGATGGGCCACTGCCTATTTTGGAGTCTCCAGTGCTAGTGCGGTAGATTCGTGCGGCGTCGGCGCGCGCAAAATTATGGACACTGCGTCGATGGTTCAACCTCCGATCGATCGCGGCCCCGATCGTTCACTGCTGACTTCCATCGGGCTCTGTGCCACTGCCGTGCCCCTCGGTACCTCCGCACCGCCCTGCCCTGCGGTGTCCCCGCGCGCCCCCGGTGCCGCAAGGGCGCCCCCGGGTCAACCCTGGAACGCCACCGCTGGTGTCGCCGGCGCGCCAACGCCGCTCGAGCCTACCGCGACGTGGTGTGGTGAGCAGGCGGGCGGAATTGAGCGAGACAGCTTGTGGTCCTCCTCCTCCTCCTCCTCCTCCCCTCCTCCTCCTCCTCCTCCTCCTCCTCCTCCTCCCCCTCCCCTTCCTCACCCTCCTCCTCCCTCTCCCCCTTTCCCCTCTCACTACCACCTCCTGTGGGGTCTTGACCTTGGTTTCACGAAGGGCTGGAGCGTCCGAGGTGGCCCCAGATGGTGCCCAAACGGCCCCAAGCATCATACGATGGCCTCCACGATGGTACGATGGACTCCGAGATGGCCTTCATGACTCCTGGGGCTGCTCAGGCTGAGTGCGAACTTCGGTTTGATGGCTGCCCACCCTCTTTGCTCAAGGGCATGCCTGCACTTCTCTGATGAAGGCAACTCGCCGTGGGCGTCCTTTCTGGATGGGTTGGTGGGGATATGCTAAGCGTCAACAACTTTTGCGCTTTGGGTTACTTGCTCCCCTCCCCTGTCGAGCTGGACGGACACATCAGCAACAAAACACCGAATCAGCGGCGAACGCATCACGATGCCGGCCGGCATCATGGGTCATCCTCGTTGTCGCTCTCAGTAGGTTTCTTCTCCAGCCGCTTGGCAGCCAGGGCATCGGCGCATCTTTTCATGTCTTCTCCGCGGCCGCCAGTGGCTTTGTCGGTCCGCAAAGAATTGACGCTCGTGATGGTCGGGCGGCAGATCTGGCGCTCGCCAGTCTCTTTGTTGTGCTTGTCCTCGACAATCCAACAATTGGCCTTGTAGATCGGCATCTTCACCAACCCGCAAGCAGCAACATTCTGCTGCTTGTCCTCTAAGGCCTTCACCGGCTTCTTGGCGTAGTTCGTCAGCCACTCCGACACAGCGAGGTCGTCAACCTTGAAGCAGGGCTCCTGGACGGACTCGATGAAGGCTTCGAACCCATTCAAGTCCCTGGCGTGCATCATGAAGCCGTCAGCGCCCTGACCCGTCTGAATGCCTGTCAGCCCCATGAACCGGTGGCCCGTCCACGAGAACTCGGGGTCGTGGCGCATCGCGCACGACAAGGCGGAGATGGTTTCGCTCTCGTAGGCGATGTCGTCGTCGAATGTTACGACCAAAGTGTCCGGATCCTTCACCATCTTGGCGCACCCGAGGTAACGGGATCCAGGGCCGACGTCGTGCTCAATGGGGACGATCACCAGCTTGCCGTTCATCAGGCTGATCAACTCCTGAGTTTCCTTCTCGGGGTACCCTGCGCCCTCGCGGACAGAAGCCTGGGTGGGTACCGCCAAATCCGCGCCATGCCTTCGGCACGTAGTGGTGAGCCCCAACGCTCACACTGTGAGTCTGAGAGGACCACAAGAAGTCCAGGATTCTGCAAACACCCGAACAGCGAATTAGCTGGAATCTCTGGGCGCTCTTGAACGCCTGGCGTTTGGTGATCCGGGCCGTCGGGACGCCAAACCCGCCCAAGCTGACTCCAACATTCCCCAAGAGCCCTCAAACAGCTCTTAGACGTATCATCCCCAAGACACACCATGAACTTCCAGCCAGTGGATCATTACGGAAGGGTCGAAGACGCTGCAAGTGAGACCCCAGAACTTCCAAAAACGCCGAACCCGAGAAGTTCTGACATCTTTGGCATGTTGGGCTTCCTGGCCCAACGCTGCGTCAAGATGGCTGCAGGGAGCTCCAATTCCGCCCAAGGCAGCACCAAGAATCACCCAACGCGGTTCGGAAGGGACCCAGAAGGCCACCCAAGATTGCCCCTACACGAACGTCAGGTCCGCGCCAGACAGGCCCAAGAGACCTTCAGGCATGTTTGAGGAGAGGCCTGATGAGGTCAACTCGAACTGGCCCCACAGGCCCTACCCTCTCCCGAAGAGAGTCCGAACAAAAACCCAAAGAGGCCCCCAAGAGGCCCCCCAAGAGGCCCCCAAGAAGCCTCTCCCCAATGTGGTGGCGGGATGGGCCGCAGGCCACTGGATACCCTGTAATGTTGCCGCGGTAGGTCTGCTCGAGCAGGACGGAACTCAAGCTCTCTTTGAGAGCCGCGAAGCCTTTGTTGGAGGTGAGGTGGCTGGGTATGGTGGTCATGCACACCGCTACGTCCGGAAAAGGTCCCGCATCCTTCGCATCGCCAGTGGCCTCAAGAGACGAGGTCTTCTCCTGAGCGCCGGCAGCGACGGCTCCATCCCCACTGCCGCTCTCAGTAGGTTTCTTCTCCAACCGCTTGGCAGCCAGGGCATCGGCGCATCTTTTCATATCTTCTCCGCGGCCGCCAGTGGCTTTGTCGGTCCGCAAAGAATTGACGCTCGTGATGGTCGGGCGGCAGATCTGGCGCTCGCCAGTCTCTTTGTTGTGCTTGTCCTCGACAATCCAACAATTGGCCTTGTAGATCGGCATCTTCACCAACCCGCAAGCAGCAACATTCTGCTGCTTGTCCTCTAAGGCCTTCACCGGCTTCTTGGCGTAGTTCGTCAGCCACTCCGACACAGCGAGGTCGTCAACCTTGAAGCAGGGCTCCTGGACGGACTCGATGAAGGCTTCGAACCCATTCAGGTCCCTGGCGTGCATCATGAAGCCGTCAGCGCCCTGACCCGTCTGAATGCCTGTCAGCCCCATGAACCGGTGGCCCGTCCACGAGAACTCGGGGTCGTGGCGCATCGCGCACGACAAGGCGGAGATGGTTTCGCTCTCGTAAGCGATGTCGTCGTCGAATGCTACGACCAAAGTGTCCGGATCCTTCACCATCTTGGCGCACCCGAGGTAACGGGATCCAGGGCCGACGTCGTGCTCAATGGGGACGATCACCAGCTTGCCGTTCATCAGGCTGATCAACTCCTGAGTTTCCTTCTCGGGGTACCCTGCGCCCTCACGGACAGAAGCCTGGGTGGGTACCGCCAAATCCGCGCCGTGCCTTCGGCACGTAGTGGTGAGCCCCAAAGCTCATGCAAATGTGAGTGCGAGAAGAAGGTAATAATTGTATTACATCAGAGCAACACCCCAATCAATGGATGGTTTTCGCTGAGGAGATCGACCGGGAACCCGGGAGCCCGGGAACCCAGAACCCACCGAAATCGGTCGGGAACCAATAACCGGGAACCCGGGAACGCGGAACCGGGAACCCGGGAACCCAGCCTGCTACCAACACCGGCGGGAAACTTTCGCCAAATCTTTTACCTTCTGCCAGGACCCTTTCAGTGCAAGCACTGATTGGGGTAGAATCCTGCAAGACAGAACAACGAACTTGCCAGAATTCCTGGGCTCTCTTGGGCGCCTTGCGCTTGGTGGTGCGGGCCACCGGAAAGCCACACCCTCCCAAGCTTGCTCCAACATCACCCAAGAACCTTACAAGAAAGCCTCAGAAGTGTCAGTCCAAGAACACACCATGAGGTCCTAGCTCACGAAGCACGAAAGGAGTGTCGAAGACGCTCCGAATGAGGCTCAAACACGCCAAACAATTCAAATTCCAATATTTTGCCATGTTGGGCTTCCCGGCCCAACGCTGCGTCAAATGGGCTGCAGAGAGCTCGCTCCAATTTCAGGGGGGCGTAAGACCTGGGTACAGGGGACTCGGAAATCCCCGACGAGGTCGTCAAAAAAATGACGAGGCCGAGCCTGCATTTTGACGAGGCCTCCCGCGGCAGACATCCCACGAAACTCCTACTCGTCAAAATCCGAGTCGCGGTCGTCAGAAAACGATGGCGAACCCGAGTCCTGGCAAACCCGGGTCTTACGCTCCCCCGACAATTCCGCCCACGGCAGCGCCAAGAATGGCACAAAGCAGTCCGGAAGGGACCCACGAGGCCGCTCAAAAGCGCCCCAACACGGCCCTCAGGTCTCCGCCGGACAGGCCCAAGAACCCCCCTGGCATGTTCGGGGAGAGGCCTAATTTGGTGGTCTCCAAACCAGGTGGTGAGACACCCGGTGGTGACCCCGATTCCCCAAAGAAATGATTCTGGATCACCACCGGGTTTGGGGACACGCGGTCGCCACAAGGTTTTGCGTTTCCTGGGCCAGCCAGCGCTCGAAAACCATTACCCAAATCGCCCAAAACTCACCACCGGGTGTTCTCACCACCACGTTTGGGGACCACCAACTAATGAGGTCAACCATAACTGGCCCCACCGCCCCGAAGAGGCTCCGAAAAGGCCCCCAAGAAGCGCTCAAGAAGTCCCCCAAGAAACTCACGAAGAAACCAAAAGAAACTCGAAGAAACCCGCTAAGAGGTTGCTGGAAACCTCCAAGAGCCCTCTGGTCAACAACTCCAATGTGGTGGCGGGATGGGCTGCTGCAGGCCGCTGGATAACCGGTAATGTTGCCACGGTAGGTCTGCTCGAGCAGGACGGAGCTCAAGCTCTCTTTGAGAGCCGCGAAGCCTTTGTTGGAAGTAAGGTGGCTGGGGATAGTGGTCATACACACCGCTACGTCCGGAAAGGGCCCCACATCCTTCGCATCGCCGGTGACCTCAAGAGACGAGGTCTTCTCCTGCGCACTGGCAGCGACGGCTCCATTCCCACTGCCACTGTCGGTATCGGTCTCGCTCTCGTTACCGCTCGTGATGTCGCTCGTCATGTTTTCTGTTTCGTTGCCGCTCAGAATCTCATCATCATCGATCGCGTGAGACACTTGCGGGCCCTCGCCATGCTCCCACGCGACCACTTCGCGTATCCACTTGCGCTTCTTCAAATCCCAAACAATATGTTCCGTGTCGCCAGGGGGATTGTGCCAATTCTTGGCCTTCTGGACAGTGAAATGTTTCCTAATGAAGCCGGTTCCGTTCCAGAAAGACCAATAGCCAGAATCCCTGGGGCATTGTGCTTCCAAACCAGCATATCCATATGCGTTTTCTTGTTTGTAATCCGGCCCGACCGCCCACACCAGGTGGGCCTGCATGAAGAACAAATACGCAGGTGCATTCTTCATGTCGCTGTTCCGATTGATGTATATCGGCCTGCCACCGTTGACCTTCCCGGAATGGATGTTGGTCTTCATGAAATAACCGTCCGTTTTGCCCCAGTTGCCAGTCTGATTCCCATCTTTGTTCTTTGCCATGGAAAGCTTCATGGTTGCAGGGCATTCCAGACAACTCTCATGATCGCGCCCAGGCTTGAATGGAGTGTGACAGCATGACCCCGTACCCTCGTTGGCGGCGCGCAAAGGGGGGTGGGGCGGGGGGGCGGGGTGGCCTTTTGAGAACGCAGGGGTGCTCCCCAGAGGGAACCATCTACTTCCAATTGGGATTTTCAGAAAGCGGACCGGCTTCCCAGAAACCCCATTGCGTCCTCAAAACAACCCTCCGCCTTGGAGGCGGCCGGGGGGTCTGACCTGGATGGGGCCAGACAGAACCGGTTAAGCTAGGTCGGACCCCGCACGAAAATGCGTTAGGTTTGCCCCGCGCCCTTTCCTCTTCGCCCTGGCGGAGGCTTTCCTCCCGCCCTTTGTTGTGCCTCCTCCTCTTTTTCGTCCTCCTTCCTCCGTCCCTTCCCCCTTCTTTTCCCCTCGTTCTATCTCTTAATTCTCGTCCTCCTCCTCCTCGTCCTTCTTCTCCTCCTACTCCTCCGCCTCCTCCTCCTCCTCCCCTTCCTCCGCAACCTCCTCCTCCTTCCCCCTCGCGTCGTCTCCACCCCGCCTGTTCCCCTCATGCACCTCCCCAGCCTCCTGGCCAGGGCAAGTCGATTTTCCTTGGCGCCCTCGCCGCTTCTGCGAGCGCGCGCGTTTCCCGATGGCCGGGTCGTGGAGCAGTCGGGGCAGCCGCGCTGGCCACGCCGTTGGAACATCCCCGTGGGCCTCTGGGGCGCGGGAGCAAGCAGTCGGGGCAACCCCTCGGGTCTAGAGTTGAACTCGGACGGGGGGCAACGCGAAGTATGGCTTTGCGCGAGCTGGTCCGCCTCAGCCCTGGACCCCGCGGCCCTCTTGTCGAACTCCCCGATCGCCTTCCGCAGGGGCGCGGGCGGCCCGTGGCTCGGGGTTACATGACGAGGGGGCGCCGCCCCCGCTGCTCGTTCGACGTGTCCCAGCTGCCAATATCTTCGCCCCAAGCGCAGTTGAGGGCGACGCCCTTGCGCAGCGTCTGGCTCAGCGACAACGATGGGGTGAGATGCGGCGCGCGCGTCTGGGTGAACCCAGAGCGGCGCGCGACGCGCGGCCCCGACCTCTGCCACGTGACCTCTTGCTCCGTGGGGCTGGGCATCAGTCACCTCCCCGCCCGCGCCTCGGCCTAGCCGTCGTCGTCGTCAGCGCCATCGGCGCCCCGTGGCAGCAGCCCAGCGACCTCCTCGTATATCGAGGGCTCCTGGCAGCCGTGCGCCAGCCGCGAAATTCCCAGCGGTTGGAAGCGGCGGCGAAAGAGCTGGCCCAGCATGCGCTCCTCGTGCTCCAGCTCGTCCTCGTCGTGACGCCCGACAAACACGATGGTGGCCCGTTGCTCCTGCGCGAACCCCAACTTCTTCTTCATCTCCTCCTGCGCGGTCGTGCGCCGATTCTCGATGCCGACGTGTGCTGGTGACGCACCGTGGATGTTCCCCGTCTTGTGCGCGTTCGGGGCGTTCAGGGGGCGCTGGCCCGATTCGGGGGCGCCGTGAATCGATATGCGCTCGGCCACGGCCTGCAAGAAACGCAAGGGCACGCCCGAACGCCGCGCGTCGCGACGAGCGCGCGCGTTGATTCTCCTCGCCAGCTTCTCTCACGTCCTCCTCCGAGCAAGCCTGACCTCTGGCGGGGAACGGGTGCCCTCGCGCGCGCAGTCCAATAACGTGGTCAGAGGGTCCCTGGGCTTGAAGCGCTTCCGTGCCTTCCAGCTCGAAGTCGCGGGGGATCTCAGGGAAGACTTCGATGGCGTGCTGAATCTCCAGCTTCGGCGGCTCCGCGTACTTGAACGACCCGTAGTCCGAGAGCTCGTTCGCGTCCGTCATCAGGCTGATGCTGCAGGTGGGCTTCGGCTGCAGGAAGTCACCGAGGTGCAACGCGGTGGAGGCGCGCCCGAAGTGGTGCTGCGGCCGTGTGTGGGTGGATTCCTGCACTTCGGGCGTGTCGCTGCGCCCGTGGCATTCGTGCTCCCACAACCGCTTCCATCTTTTCGGCATGCTCCTGGTATCTTCGCCGAACGCAGTCGTTGTGCAGCGTTCTGGCCGTCACCGTCGCCGTGGAGATGTTCTTCGCCTCTGCGTTCGAGAAGGCCCGACCATCTCTGCGCCCTCGTTCGGCGCCAGCGACGGCCACAACTGCTCCACCACTGGGAAGACGATCTTCTGCAAAACGTGCGTCTTCCCCGAACCGCCCTGGCCTTGCAGGAGCACGTGCGCCACTTTCCCTCACTCCGGGGTCCGGGGCTCGTTCTGCACGTCGTCCTCCCAGGCGTCGTCGCAGGCCGTGGCGAAATTGGTTCTCAGCTGCTTTCTGCTGGTCTCTGTTGTGCTCTGGTGCTCTCCGCTGCTTTCTGCCCCCCTTTGTTACTGTCAATGGGTCTGAGACGTTCTCTGGTGGTCCTTGCTGGTCTCTGTTGAGGACCCGCTCGGGTTACCAATACGAAGTGTGGCCCCCTCATGGAGGGGGGGGCGCTTGCAGCATCTTCATGAGTTGCCCTTCAAGGCGTGCACGTGTTGTGCCTGGTAACGACTATTATGATGACCCGCAGCGGTTCGCAACATGAAGTGCGGGCCCAATACGGGGGGGCCCTTCACTTACAGACGGCGTCCCCACTTGAGGCATCTCCTCGGTTCGCCCCCTTTGGGTGCTCGAGTGATATGCGTGGTAGATAATCTCGATGGCCCAATCGGGCTGCCAACATGCAATGCGGGCCCCATAAGGACAGGGGAGTCGCCTGAGACATCCTCACGATTTGCCTCCTTTTGGTGCTCAAGTACACTGCCTGGTCGAGTATTCAGATGACCCGCTCGGATTACCAACATGAGCTGCGGGCCCCATCAGGAGAGGGCTCCTGTCTGAGGCATCCTCTCGATGTGCCTCCTTGGGGTGCTCACGTGGTGTTCAGATGACCTGCTCGGATTACCAAAATGCAGCGCGGGCCCCCATAGGGAGGACTGGGGCCCGCTTGAGACATCCTCACGATTTGCCCCCTTGGGTGCTCCCGCTCGGGCTACCAGCATGAAGAGCGGACCCCATAAGGAGAGAACTCTCACCGGAGACGCCCTCGCAATCCACTCACAGTCAGTCGAAGCATGCGCTCGAAGGTTCATCAAGATGAGTGTGTGAGTGTGTATGTGAATGAATGCTGGTGATGACGATGATGGTGATGCTGATGATGGTAATGCTTGGTGGTTATGATGATGATGATGCTGACGATGACGATGATGACGATGATGACGATGATGATGATGATGATGGTGGTGATGATGATGATGCTGATTCTGATGATGATGATGATGATGATGATGCTGAGTGTGTGAGTGTGTTTTGAGCGGTGATTGCGATGTGGTGATGATGATGACGATGCTGATGATGATGATGATGGTGATGATAATGATGCTGATGATGATGATGATGATGATTATGATGATGACGATGACGATGATGATGCTGATGCTGATGATGATGATGATGATGATGATGATGATGATGATGATGATGGTAATGGTGGTGTTGGTGGTGGTGATGATGATGCTGCTGCTACTGCTGATGATGATGATGATGACGATGATGATGATGATGATTCTGACGATGATTATGATGGTGATGACCGATGGCCATGGTGTGGTGATAATGACGGTGGATATGATGGTGATACTTATGACAATGGTAGTGATGATTGAGGAACCCCGAGACGGGTACCCAGGAGTAGGAGATGGTGAGTGTGGCAACAGGAGAAGAAGACATACGGCGGTGAGGTATGAGGTTCCTGCGCGGGGTGTGCAGGGAAAATAAGAACCCAACTTAGGATGTGGGGAAGAGATGAGCAAATCCTTTCAAACTTGGCCCGCCAACCATTCCTGGGGTTCATGTGGTGCAATTTTTCACCCCGGATCTGTTTTGACGGCCCCTGGGGCCCCAAAGCGGCCCCTGGAGGCCGATCAAAAGCGAAAAGCCTTCCCAGACCAAGTGCTAGACAACCTCAGACACCCAGCCGACTTCAACTTCCGAGAGGGCTTCTTAGAACGCGGAGCGGCTTCTCAGGAGCCACCCCTGTGTCCTCAGAACTTCCTCCGCCCTCTTCCATTCCCGCACACCGTGCGGTGGAAACTTCTGAGAGCCTCCCATGCTATCTTGCCAGCTCTTGCGAGTGGACGCTACGTTGGCTCGAACCGATGCTAAACTGGCCATTCTCATCGAGTGCAAGGCGCTAACACACGCTAACGCACTCTAAAGACGGAATTGCGAGGACATACGCACGCCATCGCTCGGACGTCCATTCCGTGTGCATTTTTCGTTATCGTGTGTTTTTCCCAATCCCGCCCGGTGGAGGCCGCCCGCGGTAGCCGGCCCTCTGGGTCCAAGTGTTGCTAGAAGTGTCCCTGGCCCAGGGTGCCACATCCTCCGCCTCCTCCTCCTCCTTCTTTCCTCCGCCTCCTCCTCCTCCTCCTCCTCCTCCTTCTTTCCTCCGCCTCCTCTTCTTCCTCCTCTCCCTCCTCCTCCTCCTCCTCCTCCTCCTCCTCCGCCTCCTCCTCCTCCCCTCCCATCACCATCACTACCACCACCACCACCACCACCACCACCACCACCACCACCACCACCACCACCACCACCACCACCATCACCACACCATCACCATCACCATCACCATCACCATCACCATCACCATCACCATCACCATCACCATCACCATCACCATCATCATCATCATCATCATCATCATCATCATCATCATCATCATCATCATCATCATCATCATCATCATCATCATCATCCCCTCCCTCCCCCTACACCATCGTCACCATCATCACCGTCACCCATCATCCATCAGCAGCATCATCTGCAGCATCATCCTCATCCACATCCTCTTCATCATCGTTCCCACCGCCCATGTCGTCACACCCCTCACACGTTTCGTGGCCCCACAGGGGGCCCCACCTATGGCCACAGTGGCGGTGTTCGCATGCGTCCCCCACCCAGGACAGCGTTTCGTGGCCCCATAGGGAGCTCCACCGAAGGCCCCAGTGGGAGTGTTCGCATGCGTCTCCCCCACCCAGAACAGCGCTTCGTGGCCCCATAGGGAGCTCCACCGAAGGCCAGAATCGGGGTGTTCGCATGCGTCTCCCCCACCCACGTTTTGTGGCCCCATAGGGAGCTCCACTGAAGGCCTCAATCGAGGTGTTCGCATGCGTCTCCCCCACCCAGGACAGCGTTTCGTGGCCCCATGGGGAGCTCCACCGAGGGCCCCACTGGGGGTGTTCGCATGCGTCTCCCCCGCCCAGGACAGCGTTTCGTGGTCCCATTGTGAGCTTCACCGAAGGCTTCAATCGGGGTGTTCGCATGCGTCTCCCCCACCCAGGACAGCGTTTCGTGGCCCCATAGGGAGCTTCACCGAAGGCTGTAATCGGGGTGTTCGCATGCGTCTCCCCCGCCCAGGACAGCGTTTCGTGGCTCCAGAGGGAGCCCCACCGAAAGCCCCAGTGGGGGTGTTCGCATGCGTCTCCCCCACCAAGGACAGCGTTTCGTTGCCCCAGAGGGAGCTCCACCGAAGGCCAGGATCGGGGTGTTCGCATGCGTCTCCCCCACCCAGGACAGCGTTTCGTTGCCCCATAGTGAGCTCCACCGAAGGCCCCTCTGGGGGTGCTCGCATGCGTCTCCTCGCCCAGGACAGCGTTTCGTGGTCCCATTCTGAGCTTCGCCGAAGGCCCCAGTAGGGGTGCTCGCATGCATCCCCCCACCCAGGACAATATTTCGCGGCCCCAGGGAGCTTCACCGAAGGCTTTAATCAGGGTGTTCGCATGCGTCTCCCCCACCCAAGACAGCGTTTCGGGGCCCCATAGGGAGCTCCACCGAAGGCCCCACTGAGGGTGTGTGTGTGTGTGTGTGTGTGTGTGTGTGTGTGTGTGTGTTTGCATGCGTCTCCCCCACCCAGGACAACGCTTCGTGGCCCCATAGGGAGCTCCACCGAAGGCCAGAATCGGGGTGTTCGCATGCGTCTCCCCCGCCCAGGACAGCGTTTCGTGGCCCCATAGGGAGCTCCACCGAATGCGTTGCTCACAAAGACGGTACTCACAACTGCATATGGTTGGGTCCTTCGCCAGGCTAAGATTTTTGCTCGATGACCCAGGCTGTTCCTCGACGGTCCTTGCCGAGATCAGATGCACACGTCCGAGCGATGCCAAATACAAATGTCCCACGATTTGATGCCCAACGCCAAATGCTCGTCTCCCTCGTCCAGGACCTCGTCCCGCGCAATTCCTGGACGACTTTCAACTTTTTCGGGCTTCTGGGGACCTCTGTGGGCCTCCGGGGGCCCCAGAGAGACCTCTGGTGACCGAAGACCTCCTCCTCCTCCCCTCCTCCTCGTCCTCCTCCTCCTCCTCCTTCTTCATTCCTTTTCCTTATTAATAACTTCTCCCTGTCGCACTCCGAGGCTAGTTTTTAGGGCGGGCCGGGCGTTTCGACTGAGACTTCCTCACCATTTGTGACCCTGAGGCTTCATCATCGGCAACGATTGCACAGAAGAAGGGCGGGTCGTTTTCAAAATGTGGCTCTTGCCGTAGCGCCGCGCGAATTCGTTTTGACAATTTGCAAGGGCTTCACGGATTGAGGGCGGGTCGGTATCAGCATATGGCTCTCGCCTTAGCGCCGCGCACATTCGTTTTAAACATGTGTATGACTTTCACGGATTGAGGGCGGGTCGTTTTCAAAATGTGGCTCTCGCCTCAGCGCCGCGCATACTCGATTTTAACATTTGCATGAGTTTCACGGTCCCGCCGCAGCGCCGCGCACATCCGTTCATAACATTTGCAAAGGCTTCACGGGTTCCCATCATCAACGTATCAGAACTGGTGTTTTGAAAGGATTCAGGGCTATGCGGGCGCAGCATTTATGTTCATTCGCGGTGTTGAAACCTCAAGAACGGCGTTCTGGCATGATTCAGGATCGTCAAATTGCAACAATCAGGTTGACCCGTGGCGTTGGAGTCCCGAGCACACTTGTTTGGCATGCCTCATTGTCTTCAAACGGTTGTCTTCCAACGAGGCAGTTCCCTCAATGGAAATGAGCCGTCGCAGGGGCCTATGAAGAGGGAGCTTGGAGGGAGGGTTTGTTCCAACATTGTTGATGACTCCTGGGTTTACACTGGCCCTCCTCCTCCTCCTCCTTTCCTCCTCCACTCCTCCTCCTCCACCTCCTCCTCTTGTTCTCCTCCTCCTTCTCCACCCTCCCTTCCCCTTAGGGCGCGGGGCCCTCGATAGGGGGAACATGGCAAGGCAGCGCTGAAGCCACGCGGAAGAAGAAGCTCCCAAGAGTTGCCACTGCACCCCCTCCTCAAAGCCCGTGCGGCGCCCCTTCTGCAGGGCCGTCAGCCTTGAGCTCCGCCTGGAGCGCGGGCGAGAGCCTCTGGGAGTACTTGCGGGTGTCGCAGTAGAACTCGGACCACTTGCCTCGGGGGCGTCCGGGAGGGGCGCTCGCAACGTCACGGCCCGGGGCATGGGCGCGGACCGGGGGGGGGGGGGGGACCAGGGGACGCACTTCGAGGGGCCCAGGGACACCCACATAAATACACACAGCTCCCAGGATTCTGGATTCTCGTTTCCCCCCCCCCCCCCCACACTTCCCATATTCTCTTATACTTTCCTGGAGATCGACGATTCGTTGTGTCCGTGTGTTTTCTCCCCTCCTGGAAGAGCTGTGGAGATCTCGTGGCCCCGGCCGTGGCATCCACCCCCCCAGAATCGTGACCCCCCTCTTGGCCGCTCCCGATGGCCGCAGGCTCCGAAATTCGTGTGCATGCAGGCGAGGGCGGGCGAACCCGGACGCCGCACCAGCTCGAGCAAACGCCTCTTGGGGCTTGTGGGCTTCGGGTGGCCCGTGAAGTGGGCGATCACGACGTTGTTGATGCAGTGGTGCTCGCAGGCCTTCGTCAAGCCCGGCTGGATGCCCACGGTGTCCACGCAGTTGTACTCCCGGCTGATCTCCACGATCTTGCCCGCGTAGTAGCTGTTGATGAGGTTCTGGTCAAGGACCTGCTCCCGCGTGCGCTGCGTGACCATCCTCGGAGGGCCAGCTGAGACATCGACCGCTCTCCAGAGCGAGGAGGACCGAGAAGGGAGGAGAACGAGGGCCGCCAGTGTCTCCCCTGGCCATCCCCCGACTTCCTGAGCATCTCGGTGAACACGTCGACGCCCGGCTTGAAGATCATCACTCCGCTGTTATACTCGTCCTCTGGGGGATCCCGGGCACGACCACTGATCTTATCCCCCGCCCCTTCCCCGCCATGGTTAAGGATGGGGGTGGAGGGATGCGCGGGGAAGGAAGGAGGACGACGAGGACGGAGGAAGTGGATGCCCCTTGGAACTTTCTAGGGCACTCGCGAACCATTCGACACGTCAAACATACACACACACACCTCCTCCTCCCCTTTGGAGGAATGACGCAATGTACCAGCAACGAGTGTCGTGGTACAGGTAATTACACATGGCTACACCTTGTACACTTGATTCCACCTGGGTGCACCTTGCACCCAAATTCAACAACATTATGCAACGTTAGTGCCTGGTCACACACAATTGCGCCTGGTTGGAAGTTGTTACGCGCACTTGCGTATACTTACACGCAAGCCCGAACAAATTTATTGAGTTCCTGTAAATCTTGGGCTGGGTGTGAAGATGCGGTCTGCGTGCGCGCGAACGCCATGCGGCATCTCATGTGGGCGCGAGTATATTCCCCCATGGTGAAGTAGGGCGTGATCCTTTGGATCCTTACGCCCCCAGTGTGCGCTCAATGTGGTGCAATCAGTGCACCGCAAGCTGTGTCATGCAATCCGCCATGCCAATCATTGGTTATTAACTCCACTACTCGCGCAAATATCCCACCCTCCTACACGCGACTTGTGTGGCAAAAGCCGTGCGGCCACGATTGCGGTGACTGTCTAGCGCTTGCCAACGCATGTTTGCAACCGCGATAGCGCGCGCGCGCTTCCGTGCAGATCGGCCAAATGGTTTGGCACAACTGATGCGGCCGCGAGGTCGCTTGCCGATGGGACTTTCCCACCGCGTACCAGGGGCCGTGCTGGCGCGCGGGCACTCCAGCGCGAGTCGGTGACTTGGACGGGCGCGATCTGATGATCGCTGCGATGGTGGTGGTGGTGGTGGTGATGCCGACGGCAATGGTGATGATGATACTGATGAGGACTATGCTTGTGATGCTCGTGCTGCTGCCGATGATGATGAAGATGATGATGATGCGCTTTGCACTTTGCACCGTGCCCCCAAGGGCTCCCTTGCGCCGGAGGCGGCACGTCAAGCCGCTGATCTGAAACGTTATGCAAGAGCGCCTCGCGGGAGGCGTGGGAAGATTGAGGTCAGTGCAGCAGGCGAGCGAGCGGGCGCACACGAGCGAACCATTCCTCTTTGCTGCACTGGCCTGCGTTCACAAGCCAGTCGGAACCGAGCAATAGAGCGAGATCCATCTCCCATCGCCAAGCCTTGAACCTTGAACTTGCGGCCGTGCGTCTGGGATCCGTGCTCGTGTTTCACTGTCTGGAGCCAGGCCATACTGCGCCACTGTAGCAGATGGACGGGCACTAGCTGGGCAGGCGGGGCACTTGGCAAGGCGGCCTGGCGGGCTAGATGACCAGCCCAGGTGGGCCTGCGAAGATTCATATCTATGTCCCATGTCTGCTGGGGCTGTAGAGCGGCAGAGACTCGGCGCCAGCGACGGCGGCAGAAGTCCTCTGGCGTCTCCTCCTTCAATCTTTGTGTGCAAATCGGCTGAAGGAACATCCTGCGATGCGCGATGCGCATGACATTCAAGTCCTTGACAGCGGGGCACCGCGCCCCCGAACCAAGAGCAACGCAGGCTTGATAGCTCGCTCAAGGAGCTTCGCGGCCTGCTGCCAGCGGCGGGCGCACCCAGGCATGTGCAAGTTGAGAGCGTAGAAGGCTCGCCAGGCGCGCGCAACCCTGTGCTGCGTGTCTTTCCAAGACCTTCCGTCGAAGGTGAAGACAGAGCCGAGGCGGGGGAAACCCTCGGCGCGCGGCGTGCGCGTCAGGATGCCGTCCTCGACCCTCATCTGGTAGTCGCCGAACTCGTGGTCCAGCGCCGTCGTGCCCCAGGTCAGACCGGAGGGAGGCACGTGCCAACCGCGATCTTGAAGGGCGCGTCGCCAGGCCATCGTCGTCAGGCGCAGCGTCTCGGCCGTGCCCGCGAACACCCAGAAATTGTCGGCGTAGAGTAGTCCCTCCTCGTGCAGTGTCGCCTCGCCTGGGAACTCGAAGCCCCAGCCGTGCGTCCAGCGCTCGTCAAACAAATCCTCCAAGGCATCTTCCAACGCCAGGTTGAAGAGGATCGTGCTGGCTGGGTCGCCATGTCGAATGCCGCGAGTCCAAGGTGCTGGTTGCGTCTGGATCGAGCCCATCTTGATCACCGCCGAGGCCTTCAACTCCCTCATGATGGCCAGGATCGCGGGCCTTGGCACGGCCCTTCTCCGCAGCGTCTCCTCGATCGAGCGGTGCGGAACACGGTAGAAGGCCGCCTCGATGTCTCCGTCCATGATGAAGATGGGTCGGTTCCACTCGCGAGCCTTCTCCACCGGCATGCGCATGCTGAAGATCACGCCCGTCGCATGGTGGAACTTCCGATAGGCGAACTGCGGGCTCCGCAGGGTCAGCTTGCTGCCGCATTTCCTGATCAGGCCGATCGAGCAGAGCTTATCGAAGGTGTCAGAAGCTCGATCGGCCTGTACCCCTTGAGCGCGGGCTTGTCTCCCCTCTTCTTCGTGGGCTGGATGACGTGCTTCGACCAGGCATGCTCTGGCACCCCGCGGAAGCGGCTCTCGCAGATGGCCGCGAGCGAGGCGAGGAAGCCCGGGTCGAGGGCCCGCGGGACCTCGGCGGCCACCCCGTCCACGCCAAGCGCCTTCATGGCCTTCATGTCGCACGGAGCCTCGCGGAGCATCTCGGGCGAGAAGGGCGGGATGTCGAGCGCGTCCTCCTTCGTGAAGTGGGTGATGTAGGCAGAGACCCCGACGGGCTCCTCCCCGTCGCTGGCCCTGGAAGTGTTTTCGTACTCGCGCTCCATAAGCTCCTTGATCCTCAGCGGGTCGTCCTCGATCTCCCCCTCCGTGTTCATCAGCTGGATGTGGGCCGGCCCGGGCAGAGCTCGGCGAGGTGCTCGTGCTCGGGGATTGCCAGCCGCCTCGTGTAAGCCGTGCTGCAGGGCCCTGTTCGCGATCCAGATCTTCCTGATAATCCCGATGTCCTTGCAGTAGATCGCGCGCTGCGCGCGGTCGCGGGTGTCCCGCCGACGCGCCTTCAGCATCCGCAGCGTCTGCGTGAGCTCGCGGCTCTCGGGGGGCTTGGGGGCCTTCCGCGCTGGCGGGCCCCTGCCGCGGGCTGCGGCGGCCATGTGCACCGCGTCCGTCATAGACGTAATTGGCGCTGGGTCGCGGTCGGCGTAGCAGGCGTTGTGGCTCCAGCGCTGGAAGCGGTTGTCGAGGCAGGTCCAGCCCTTCATCCTTCATGGGCGCGCGGCCTCCGTTCCAGACGTGGCGCCTCCTGGTGCCGAGGGTGAGGTCCAGCTTGATGGCCGAGTGGTCGGACTGCGCGCTGTCGGTGATCTCCTCGAGCGTGGTGCTGACCTTCCAGATGTCGCGAGCAGGTATCAGGACATAGTCGATCTGGGCTGGCGGGTGCTTGAGGTCGCAGGGGCAGGTGAACCCGCTGGCCGCCGCAGTGAAAACGTTCGTCGTCGCGAGGTCGCGTTGCATCAGAAGCCGCGTCAACAGCTCGGCGCGGCGCGTGCGCTGACCGACCGGGAAGGCCCCGATCCAGCGCTCCTCGCCCGCCCCCGGGGGGCGCAGAGCCGTCTGCGCGTCCGCGCCCGCAGTCGGATACGCCCCAGGCGGCGCCATGGTGATCAGGTCGGAGAGCTCTTCCATGGAGTCCTCGTACTGGCTGAGAGAGTGCCCTGGGAAGAGGTGGCTGCATCTGACCCAGTACGCTTTCTTGCGAATGCGAAAATCATGAGCCGCCGAACGCCCCCATGGGGGCATATCCCCTTCGAAAAAAAAGAGCGCGAGAGCGCGCCGGCAACCCTATCTGCTTCTGCCCCTCGACGCGCCGTGTGACCAGGTAGAGGTCGCCTCGGTGACCTCTAGCTTCGTGGTCGCGCCCCAATGGCCAACCTCCTGGAGGATGGCCGCGTCGTAGTCGTGCTGCTCGCGCAGCGTTTCCGCAAAGAACTCGGCGCCGTGCTGTGCGATCTCCTGAGCGTTCCAGCTGATCAGCTTGAAGCAAATCTGCTCCTCGGACTCCTCTAGAGTCTGCTCCCTGTCCAGTCACTGCCCCGCGTTGGCCTTCGCTTAGGTGTGGGTTTGGGTTTGTCTTTTCCTAACGAACTCCCCTGGGGCTTCGGCCCGTCCCGCCGGCCACCCGGAAACTGCACAAGTCAATGCGTGTTCCGTCCCCGGATAGCCCAAGATGGTCCCATGACGGCCACGATGGCCCAGGATGGCCTCCAAGATGCCTCCAAGACAACCAAGATGGCCTCCAAGACCGCTAAGATGGCCCCAGGATGCATCCAAGACGGCCCAAAATGGCCTCAACATGGTCTAAGACGGCCCAAAGGGCCCGCAAGAGGTGTTCGAGACGGCCCAAGAGGCTTCCAAGAGGTCCTCCAGGAACGCCCCCAGAAGCCAACATCATTGATTTCCCGTAGGTTTTTGGTATATTTTGGAATTTGCGCCTTTTCGGCTTTCCGACGGCCCAAAAAGGCTCCCAAGATCGCCCCACGATCGCCCAAGAGGCCTCCAAGATGGCCCCATGACGCCCCCAGACGCCCCCAAGACGGCCCGAAGACGGCCCAAGAGGCCTCCAAGACGCCCACGATGGCCTCCAAGACGGCCAAGATGGCCTCCAAGACGGCCCCGAAGCTCCCCAAGAGGGCCCCAAGTCGGCCCAGAAAGGCCCTCAAGACGGCTCCCGACCGCGTCAGACGTGCCAGGAACCCACCAAGATGGCCGAAGTTGGCTCGAAGCTGGCGGCCTAAGAGGCCCCCAAGAGGGCCTCCAGGAAGGCCAGAAGAGGCCACAAACATTGATTTCCCTGAGGTTTTGGATGGATTTTGACATTTGCTTCTTTTTGGCCTTCCGACGGCCCGAGACGGCCCAAGAGCCCCCAAAGATCGCCGACAGGTCGCCCAAGAGGCCTCTAAGATGGCCCCAGAACGGCCCAAGAGGGCCCCAAGACGGCCCCAAGAGGCCCCCAAGACGGCACAGGAAGCCTTTAAGACGCCCAAGATGGCCTCCAAGACGGCCCTTGAGCATTCCAAGAGGGCCCCAAGTCGGCCCATAGAGGCCCCCCCTAAACGGCTTCCGACGGCGTCAGACGGACCAGGAGCCCACCAAGATGGCCGAACATGGCCCTAAGATGGCCCCAAATGGCCCAAGATGCCTCCAAGAGGGCCTCCAGGAAGGCCCGGAAAGGCCACAATCATTGATTTCCCATTGGTTTTTGAAGGATTGTGGCATTTGCTTTTTGTTCTGCCTTCCGACGGCCCGAGACGGCCCACGTGCCCCCAAAGATCGTCCAAGAGGCCCAAGACACGGCCCCAAGAGACCCCCAAGACGGCCCACGAGGCCTCCAAGACGCTCAAGATGGCCTCGAAGGCGGAGCAAGAGCCCTCCAAGAAGTCCTCCAAGAAGGCCCGAAAGGGTCAAAATGGCCTCCAGACGGCCAAGATGACCTTGATGCCCACGGGTTCCCCGAATGCTTTTCAAACCGATTCGGGGAACACATGGTCCGATAGCTTGGCAGGTCTGGCCTCAACGTTCGGCCACATTGGCGCTTCCAAAAAAGGCAGGGGGCGGCGGTGATTCACCGTAGGCGCCTTCGATATCACGGTGATCAGTGGGCCCTCGAAAGGAATAAATCAGAGCAACCAAACGAGCAAACTGCCCGACACATCCCCCACAAGTGATACACCTCTATGGCGGCCCTCCTCGGCGTGGCTACATGCCACGCCTAGTACACCGCGGCAATCATGGGGCTCTCAAGAGACATGAAATGGGCAACCAGCAAGGCGAACCGCCTGAGGCATACCCCACAATCTGACCGCGACCGGGCCAGTGCTGTACCCCCTGGCGGCTCTTCCTTGGGGTGGCCGAGTGCCACGCCTGCGGTATCCTGCGGATCACGGGGCCCTCAAAAGCAACGAGGCCGATGAGCCAAGCACGCAGACCGCCCGAGGCATCCCGACAGTCCTGGCGGCTCCTCCGTGGGGTGCCCGAGTCCTTCGCCTGCTATCTCGCGGTGGCCACGGGGCTCTCAGCAAAGCGTGTGTGAGTGAGACCATGTGCGTGAGTCCGAGTGTGGCGGAATCTGGATGTGCATCGATGCGCGTGAATCTGAGTGTGGGTCTGAGCGTCGGTACGACTATTCTGTTATGAGCGTGCCTGCCTGCGAACGAGTACGGGTGTGAGTGGCCTGAGCATGAGTGGCCCGGAGTATCAATGCATCTGGGTGTGTGAGTCTGAGAGGTGAGTACGGCTAAGCTGAATAGTAGTGTGTACTTTATGAATGAACATGAATGTGCGTAAGTCTTCGTATGAAAGGCCTCGGAAGGCATCGGCGGGAGGAGAGGAGGAAGGGAGGCGGAGGCATCGCTCCCATAAAAAGAGCCCAACAATAAAGACATGGGGGACATCATATCAGTTCTTCCCTTCCATGCTCTTCTCCTCCTGCTGCTCCTCTCCTCCTCCTCTTGCATCTCTCCGCCCCTCTCCCCTATTCTCCTTCTCCTCTCCTCTCCTCTCCTCCTCCTCCTCCTCCTCCTCCTTCTCCTCCTTCTCCTCCTCTCCTCCTCCACATCCTCCTCCTCCTCCTCCTGTCGACTGGATCTATCGTCGCATCTTATTCAACTCCTTTTCCTTCTGCGCTGAACACTCCATTTCTCTCGTACACTCTTCTCCGCGTCCTCCCTCTCCGAACGGCCACTGTTGGTCCACCCTCTCTGGCGCGGGGAGCGCGCCAATTGGGGCGCTGGCGCCGATCCAAGAAATCCATGCGGAACCTCGACAATCTAGCTTGTGCCGTCTGGCCTTCTTCGGGGGCAGAGGGTAGGATCAGAAAGTCCCGGGGTCGCTAGGGACTGGCTTGCCCCCAAATCCACAGCAAAGAACCTGACACGCTTCGAAAACCGTCTCCGGAGCGTTCTGGAAGCCTGTCGGAAGGCTGGGGTCGCTTGACGGAAACCAGTCCCTAGCGACCCCTGGGCATTCTAAGGGTTAACCTACTCCCATCGTACCTCAGGACCACACCCCAGAAATGATTTCGAGCACCCCGAAAAGTATCGAAACACTGTCGAACGAGTATCGCCTCCCAGGGCCCGACACGTGAAAACCCTCCAATTTGGGTACTTCCTTGGTGCTCGAAATTCTTGTTTGGTGAGCAAGGCTCAAAAAGGTTAGAACATCGTAATCTAAGGGTCGGATGTGGAGGAGAAGCAGCTGGACCGGCGGGTACAGCGAGGGCCTCCGATCCTTGCAGCCATCCCTGGCCATGGCGATGTGCCCCTCGGGCAGGTGCAATTTCAGCAGAGTCTGGATCCTGACGGCGAGGATTTTGCGAGGAGGAGGGGGGAGGAGGAGGAGGAGTAGGAGGAGGAGGAGAAGGAGGAGGAGGAGGAGGAGGGAGGCGGAGGAGGAGGAGGAGGCGGAGGAGGAGGGAGAAGGAGGAGGAGATGGAGGAGCAGGAGGACGAGGGAGGAGGAGAGGAGGGGGAGAGGGGGGGGGGGAGGGGGAGGGGAGGGGGGAGGAGGGAGGAGGAGGAGGAGGAGGAGAGGAGGAGGAGAGGAGGAGGAGGAGGAGGAGGAGGAGGAGGAGAAGGAGGAGGAGGAGGAGGAGAAGGAGAAGGAGCATGAGGAGCATGAGGAGGGGGAGAAGGAGGAGGACTCGATCCTCGACCCTCCCCTCACTATGGGACAACAGCAGGGGTGTGGCTCGAGCGTCGACTGCCGAGCGGATTCAGCGAGGTACGGAGTTAAGGGCATTACGACTAGGTCGGATACGATATGACGCTGTAAATCGACTCTCGTCTGCCCTTCTCGGCTTTCGTGTAACTTTGGGCCGGACCCCCCTTGCGATTCTGGAGAGATAACCTCTACAATTACCTTCGGGCCGTCGTCGACACGGGTCCCCAAGGTAGGCCAGCTGCTGGGCCGCGAATGATCCACACGAGCCACAAGACGAAATCCCCAGTCCAACGTGACACTTTAAATGACGGGTTATACTTGCCCACCCCCGCAGATACGCACCCGACGCTCTGGGGGAGGTGCAACCAGAATGCCATGGAGGAGGGCTGGAAGGAGCAGGAGGAAGAGTAAGGGAAGGAGGGGAAGGGGCTGGAGGAAGGGTCCTGGGGCTGAAGATGTAGGTGTCCGAATCCATGAAGATCACCCTTTCGAAGGGCAGGCGGAAGCAATTAATCCGTCGAACCCTTTGGGATCAAGAGGCGTGTGAGAGTCTTCTGACTCCTGCACATTCTACCAAGCCCCAACACCAAGATTTGAAAGGGGGGTGTGGTGGATGGATGGGTTCACCAGGGGCGGGAGAGGCTTCAGAGACGCCACCCGAAAGGCGCAGGCGCAGCCCAGGACCGGAGCAATTCACCCGGTTCGGTCGCAAGACTGTACTGCGAACGTGGCCGAAACTTCCACATCCTGCGAACGTGGCCTGTCCTGTCATGGCATTTTTCCCCTAGTTCTCGATTTTCACATTGCTCCGTCCAAGATGGCCCTACCCTTCGGTCGGCAGAAGTGGGTAGAAGCATGAAGTAGGAAGGCGTTGGAAGTAGATTGTGCGTCCGCCCGCCCCCTGAAGAGGAGGGCAAAGGGAACACCGCTCGACTCTCGAAGTAGGACGGCGCATGAAGTAGATTTGGATCTGAAAAAGCCCTGCCTACTTTCAACGACCAGCGTGTCCTCGGTCCAAGATGGCCCTGGCCTTGGATGCCTAAGCTCGCCTGGAAGCTGCCCACAGAGGCCTCCGGAAGGGCCCAACACGGCCCGAGAGGCCGCCGCCGACGGTCGCCGGAGATGGTCGAGACGTTCCGGGAGGCCCCGGTCAAATGGAAGCCGGGAAGGCCCCCGAGACACCCCAAGATAGCCCCGAGACGTCTCAAGAGTTATTGCAAAACCTTCCCCCCCTCCTCCTTCCTCTCCCTCTGTATGTGTGTGTGTCTCTCTCTCTCTCACTCTCTTTGTCTCTCTCTCTCTCTCGCTGCCTCTTTCTCTGGCCTATCTTTTCTCTCCTCGCCCCTTCCCCTTCTCATCCTCCTCGCCCTCTGCCCCCTCGTCCTCCAGTCCTCCTCCCCCTGCTCCTTCGAGCTTCTCCGACGCGGTGCCTGCGCCGACCCCATTCTTGCCCGCGCGCGGCCAGGAGCCGTGCGCTGGGCGCCGGGGGGGGGGGGGACCGCAGTCGCTCAGTCGGGCTCCACACCTCGTGGCCTTTGGGAGCCCCACGGGGCTCCGCGCGCTCTGGCTTCGGCGCGCGCGCGTCCCGCGCGCACGGAATTCAACACGCGCGGAGGCAGATTCCGACGGGTTCCCCACACGCGTGGAGTTCGACAGTGGTGGGGCTGCACACGCAACGGCACACACACGAGCAGAAGCACACAGACACACACACAAGCACAGGCACAACCACACACACAGAAACACAACCACACATGCAAACATAGACACACCAGCACACAGACGCACGGACACACAGACACACATACTTTTTTGGCGGTAGAGGCCTCGCGCGCAGCGGCGAGGCGGAATCTTGACACACAGGCAACCGGGCACACATGCACACAGATACGCAGACAGACAGGCGGACACACAGACACACAGACAGGCAGGCAGACGCACAGGCACACAGATGCGGAGACACACAGACACACAAACGCACAGGTACACAGGGAGACAGACTCACAGACGCACAGACACGCAACCACAAACACACAGACACACACACGTAATTATACCGGCACGCAAGAACGCACACACACACACACGCGCACACACACACACGCGCACACACACACGCACGCACGCACACACACGCACACACACGCACACACACGCACACACACGCACACACACGCACACACACAGGCGCACACACAGCCACACACAGACACACACACACACAGGCACACACACAGGCAACCACACAGGCACACACACAGGCACACACACAGGCACACACAGGCACACACAGACGCACACACAGGCACACACCCACAGACACACACACAGGCACACACAGGCACTCACACAGGCACACACCCAAAGACACACACACAGACACACACACAGACACACACCCACAGACACACACACACCGACACACAGAGACACACACACACGCAGACACGCACACACACAGACACACACAGTCACACACACAGGCACCCACACAGGCACCCACACAGGCACAGACACACAGACACAGACACAGACACACAGACACACACAGAGAGACACACAGGGAGACACACAGAGACACACACACACAGAGACACACACAAAGACACACACACACCGAGGCACACAGAGAGACACACACAGAGACACACACAGAGACACCCGCAGAGACACCCTCAGACACACCCACATACACGCCCACAGACACACACAGACGCACATGCAGACGCACATACAAACGCACACACACAGACGCACACACACACAGACGCACGCACAGACGCACACACACACACGCACACACACACGCAAACACACACGCACGCACACACACACGCACACACACACACACGCACGCACACAGACGCAGACACAGACGCACACACAAAAACACACACAGACGCACGCACAGACGCACACACAGACGCACACACACAGACGCACACACACAGGCGCACACAAAGACGCGCACGCAGACGCACGCACAGACGCACACACACAGACGCACACACAGACGCACACACAGACGCACCACACAGACGCACACACAGACGCACACACACACACAGACGCACACACAGACGCACACACACACACACACGCACACACAGACGCACACACACACACACGCACACACAGACGCGCACACACAGACGCGCACACACACAGACGTGCACACACAGACGCGCACACACAGACGCGCACACACAGACGCGCACACACAGACGCGCACACACAGACGCGCACACACAGACGCGCGCACACAGACGCGCGCACACACAGACGCACACACACAGACGCACACACACAGACGAACACACACAGACGCACACACAGACGCGCACACACAGACGCGCACACACAGACGCACACACAAAGACGCACACACAGACCGACGCACACACAGACGCACACACACAGACGCACACACACAGACACACAGAGACACACAGACACACACACAGGCAGACACATAGACACACACAGACACACACAGGCACACACACAGACACACAGACACACACACAGGCACGCACACAGACACACACAGACACATACAGACACACACACAGACAAACACACACACAGACACACACACAGACACATACACAGACACACACACACAGACACGCACACACAGACGCACACACAGACACTCATTCACAAACACACACAGACACACAGAGCCACACAGAGACACACACACAGCGACACACAGAGACACACACACAGACACACACACACAAAGACGCAGACACGCAGAGACACACAGAGACACAAACCGGCACACACAGACACACAGAGACACACAGCGACACACAGAGACACACAGAGACACACAGAGACACACAGAGACAAACAGAGACAAACAGAGACACACAGAGACACACAGAGACACACAGAGCCACACAGAGACACACAGGGACACACAGAGACACACAGAGACACACAGAGACACACAGAGACACACAGAGACACACAGAGACACACAGAGACACACAGAGACACACAGAGGCACACAGAGGCACACAGAGAAACACAGAGGCACACAGAGACACCAGAGACTCCAGAGACACACAGAGACACACAGGGCCACACAGAGCCACACAGAGCCACACAGAGCCACGCAGAGCCACGCAGAGCCACACAGAGTCACACAACGCCACACAGACACACACAGAGACACACAGAGACGCACAGAGACACAATGAGACACGCAGAGACACACAGGGACACACAGAGACACACAGAGACACACAGAGACACACAGAAACACACAGAGACACACAGAGACACACAGAGACACACAGAGACACACAGAGACACACAGAGAGACCCACAGAGACACACATGGGCACACAGAGCCACACAAAGCCACACAGAGCTTCGCAGAGCCACACAGAGACACACAGAGCCACACAGAGCCACACAGAACCACACAGAGCCACACACACACCCACACACAGAGACACACAGAACCACACAGAGACACACAGAGACACGCAGAGACACACAGAGACACACAAAGACACACAGAGGCACACAGAGACACACAGAGACACACAGAGACACACAGAGGCACACAGAGACACATAGCGACACACAGCGACACACAGCGACACACAGCGACACACAGCGACACACAGCGACCCACAGAGACATACAGAGACACACAGAGACACACAGAGACACACAGGGACACACAGAGACACACAGCGACACACAGAGACACACCGAGACACACGGAGGCACACAGGGGCACACAGAGGCACGCAGAGACACACACAAACACACAGAGACACACACAGACACACTGAGACACATAGGGACACACACACAGAGACACACACACACAGGCACACACAAAGACACACACACACACACGCGCACACACAAACGCGCACACACACACACGCACACACACACACACGCGCACACACACACGCACCCACACACGCGCACACACACACGCGCACACACACACACACCACACACACGCACACACACACGCACACACCACGCACACACACACACACACGCACGCACACACAGACGCAGACACAGACGCACACACAAAACACACACAGACGCACACACAGACGCACACACAGACGCACACACAGACGCACACACAGACGCACACACAGACGCACACACAGACGCACACACACAGACGCACACACAGACGCACACACAGACGCACACACAGACGCACACACAGACGCACACCACAGGACGCACACACCGACGAACCCACAGACCACACACAGACGCACACACAGACGCACGCACAAACGCACACACAGACGCACACACACACACACGCACACACAGACGCGCACACACAGACGCGCACACACACAGACGTGCACACACAGACGCGCACACACAGACGCGCACACACAGACGCGCACACACAGACGCGCACACACAGACGCGCACACACAGACGCGCGCACACAGACGCGCGCACACACAGACGCACACACACAGACGCACACACACAGACGAACACACACAGACGCACACACAGACGCGCACACACAGACGCGCACACACAGACGCACACACAAAGACGCACACACAGACCGACGCACACACAGACGCACACACACAGACGCACACACACAGACACACAGAGACACACAGACACACACACAGGCAGACACATAGACACACACAGACACACACAGGCACACACACAGACACACAGACACACACACAGGCACGCACACAGACACACACAGACACATACAGACACACACACAGACAAACACACACACAGACACACACACAGACACATACACAGACACACACACACAGACACGCACACACAGACGCACACACAGACACTCATTCACAAACACACACAGACACACAGAGCCACACAGAGACACACACACAGCGACACACAGAGACACACACACAGACACACACACACAAAGACGCAGACCACGCAGGAGACACACAGAGACACAAACCGGCACACTACAGCACACAGAGACACACAGAGACACACAGCGACACACAGAGACACACAGAGACACACAGAGACACACAGAGACAAACAGAGACAAACAGAGACACACAGAGACACACAGAGACACACAGAGCCACACAGAGACACACAGAGACACACAGAGACACACAGAGACACACAGAGACACACAGAGACACACAGAGACACACAGAGACACACAGAGACACACAGAGCCACACAGAGACACACAGAGACACACAGAGACACACAGAGACACACAGAGACACACAGAGACACACAGAGACACACAGAGACACACAGAGACACACAGAGACACACAGAGACACACAGAGACACACAGAGACACACAGAGACACACAGAGACACACAGAGACACACAGAGACACACAGAGACACACAGAGACACACAGAGACACACAGAGACGCACAGAGACACACAGAGACACATAGAGACGCACAGGGACACACAGAGACACACAGAGACACACAGAGACACACAGAAACACACAGAGACACACAGAGACACACAGAGACTCACAGAGACACACAGAGACACACAGAGACACACAGAGACACACAGAGACACACAGAGACACACAGAGACACACAGAGACACACAGAGACACACAGAGACACACAGAGACACACAGAGACACACAGAGCCACACAGAGCCACACAGAGCCACACAGAGCCACACACAACCCACACAACAGAGACACACAGAACCACAAAAGAGACACACGAGGACCGCAACGGTGAACAGAGACACACAAAGACACACAGAGGCACACAGAGACACACAGAGACACACAGAGACACACAGAGGCACACAGAGACACATAGCGACACACAGCGACACACAGCGACACACAGCGACACACAGCGACACACAGCGACCCACAGAGACATACAGAGACACACAGAGACACACAGAGACACACAGGGACACACAGAGACACACAGCGACACACAGAGACACACCGAGACACACGGAGGCACACAGGGGCACACAGAGGCACGGCAACACACACGGCGCACACCCACACCACACACACGCGCAACACACGCACCCACACGCACCACACGCACACACACACACCACACGCACAACAGGACACACACGCACAAACAAACACACGCACAACCGCCACACGCACACGCACACACACACACACGCACGCACACACACGCACACACCCCCCACGCACACACACACACACGCACACACACAGACACGCCACACACACACCACGCACACACACACGCACACACAAACACACGCACACATAACGCACCACGCACACCAACACACACACACGCAGACGCACTCACACACCGGGCAACACACACACAAACACACGCACACAACACATACGCACACACACACGCACACACAGAGACACACATAAACACACACGCACACACACACGCACGCACACACACGCACACAAAACACACGCACAACACACACACGCACACACACACACACACGCCACACACAACACACGCACGCACGCAAACACAACACGCACACGCACATGCACACACGCACACACACAACACGCACATACACCACCCGCACACCCACGCACCACACCCACACGCACACACACACACGCACACACACACCACACGCACCACACACACACACGCACACACGCAACCACAACACACACGCACACAGACAACACGCACGCAACACACAACACACACACGCAAACACACACACACGCACACACACGACACGCAACACACACACGCCCACCACACGCACACAACACACACCACGCACACACGCACACGCACGGCCACACGCACACACACGCACACACACACAGTTACACCACACCACACACGCACACACACACGCACACACACACACGCACACACACCAGCACACTACACAACACGCACACACACGCACACACACGACACACCAACGCACCACACACACGCACACGCCACGCACACACACGCACACACACGCACACACACACACACGCACACACACACGCACACACACACACACACACACGCGCACACGCGCACACGCGCACACGCGCACACACGCACACGCGCACACGCGCACACGCACACACGCACACACGCACACGCGCACGCACGCACACACGCACACACGCACACACACACGCACACACACACACACGCACACACACACAGGCGGGGCTCCTCTCGCATCGGGCTACACGCATATGGGGTTTCACACGAATGTGGCTCCACCCTTGTTGCACGACTGGTGGGCTTTTTTTATTCAGCGTTTCGATATTGGACGGAATGTGGGGGGGGGTCTGACTCCCGACCTCTGCTTAGTGCGACTGTTTGCAACAGAACATCCTATAGGAGCGACCCCACCTGCCTGAAACAGGCGCCCGAAATAACCAAGATCTACTCCACGGGGGGGGAGGGGGGGGGCGATGGCCCGCGCCGATCGGCAAAACAATGCATAAAAAACGACCACCTGAACTTGCTTTAATGCACTGTTTGACATCATTCTCCTGAGTCATTCTGAGAGATCGGGATGGGTCGGCATGTGTGCGTCAGCCAACTGGATCTTCTCGAAACTGTCATGCCAACGCCCCAAGAACTCTAGGTCACAATCTTCTCCGCAATACTCGGCGTCCCAATTCGGTACAACAACTGTTTTCCAACCAGCATTTCTCAGAAGCCTCTGCTTATCCTTCTTCATTTGCTCAATGATCATGGCCGCCATGTGCATGTGTGGCAAATGCTGCTTGACTGACATGGCCAGCATTACGGCCCCATCGATGTACTCGGGGTTCTTCTTGCCCGCGAACGTCACGACCGCCGTCTTCGTCTCGGGCTGCGCGATGCCATTCACGGGGAGCACGAACGAGACGTTGTCAACCCACTCTGTCGATCTGATCGAGCCTGCTTCGTGTTTGGCTTTTGGCTTCAACACAACCTTTGACTGCCGTCCCCGTTTATGATGATGATGGTGATGTTTGTGGCGGATCGTGACGCACTGGCAGACGCCAGCGAGGCCCACCAACGCAAACGCCAACAACCGCCTGCAAATCATTGGCGTGTGAACATGTAAGTATGTGTGGGACTGTGCCATAGGGATAACGCGCCCAGATGGCTAATCGGGCCTCGCGAATCTGGCTTGTCTGAATACATGCAGTGCCAGACACATTACAAACTAGGATGAGAGGAGGACAACTTGCGTGGGGGAAGCGGGTACTATGGGAAACGGGTCCTGGACCCCAGAGGCCTTCCCCAGGAAGAATTCTTCATCCTGAATCGTTTTCTGACGGTCCCGGGGCCCCCCCACGGCCCTGAGAGCCCGAAAACAATGAAAAACCTCAGGACCCTTTTGCCTCAGGACCTGCTTCCCCCATGGCGAGAGGAAAGAGAAGACGAAAAAGAGGAATAATAATATTCAAAATGCGAAGAAGAATGACAAAACAAACTACTACTACTAGTAATCATAGTAATAATGATATGTCAAAAAGAATAAACAGAAAAAACGAATAATAATACTAAGACGAATAAGAATAACAAAACAACGAAGAATAAGTCCTCGACATCGAACCAGAGGAGCCGAGACGAGCGCTGCAGAGCGGGGCGTGCTGCGCGCTTGCGAGCCCAGCCCAGCTCGGTGGGAACGAAGGGGTAGGATAGCGAAGGGCAGGGCAGAGAATCAGCTCATGAAGCTGGTTTTCCTGGCGCCTCCTGGCGCCCATTCGAGGACCGGGCTCGGCGGCGGGGCCGAGACCAGCTGCATGCGGCAAATTTCGTAACCCCACAGAGCGGTGTCTGTCGTCCCGCCGGGCTCCCCGCTGGCGCGCCGTGAACGCACAAAGCCCGATCGCGCAGAGCCTTGCTCCGCGGTCGCCCCCCCCGCGGGCGGCAGCCCTCTGGCCACGGGCCGCAGGCGCGCCTCAGCGCGGTCGTTCGTGGACACCCTGGCCGTGATGGTGATGATGCTGATGATGCTGCTGCTGATGATGCTGCTGATAATATGCTGGTGGTGACGGTGATGGTGCTGGTGATTATGGTGATGATGATGGTAATGATGATGATGGTAATGATGATGATGATGATGATGATGATGATGATGATGATGATGATGATGATGATGATGGTGGTGCTGGTGGTTGTGCTTGTCATGATGATGGTGGTGATGATGATGATGTTGGTGCTGGTGATGCTGCCGACTATGATGATGATGATGATGATGATGGTGGTGGTGGTGGTGGTTGTGGTGGTGATGGTCATGATGATTTTCATGATTATGATGATGAGGATGATGATGATGATCGTGATGATGGTGGTGGTGGTAGTGATGGACGGTGGTGGTCTGGTGATGATGGTGACGGTGGTGATGATGATGGTGGTGGTGATGGTGATAGTGCTGGTGATTAGTGTGATGATGATGGCGATGCTGATGGCGATGATGATGATGATGATGATGGTGGTGGTGATGATGATGGTGATTGGGCTGGTGATGATGATGGTGGTGATGATGATTGTGCTGGTGATGCTGCCGAGTACGATGATGATGTTGATGATGCTGATGGTGATGTTGATGGTGGCTATTCTGATGATGCTAATTATCATGAGGATTATGATGATGATGATGGTGATGATGGTGATAACGAGGATGGCGGTGGTGATGGAAGGTGGTGGTGGTGGTGATGATGCTGATGATGATGCTGATGCTGGTGAAGATGATGGCGGTGGTGATGATGAATCTGGTGGTGATGCTGATTGTGTTGGTGATGGTGATCGTGATGTTGGTGATGCTGACGGTCCTTGTGCTTGTGATGCAACCGGGTATGATGATGCTAATGATGATGCTGCGGATGATGATGCTGATGATGATGATGGTAATGATGAGAATGGTGATGGTGATGGTGGTGTTGGTGGTGATGGCGACTATGAGTGGGCAAGGGGGAGATGACAGAGGGGGGAGCTACTGTACTGCGCGGGGGTGCCCAGAGAAAGCAAGAACCCCACTCAGGATGCGTGGATACATAATCTCGAGGATGGTCGAAAACGAAAGCACTGTATGATCAGAAACAATATAAAGTAGAGCGGTGCTTCCAGCGCCGCCCGTGCCGCGCTCAACTCTCCAGGTTGTGGGGTCCAACGCCGACCCAACGCTGACGATGCTGATGGTGATGATGGTGATGATTGTGATGATGATGATGCTGACGATGATGAGGCTGATGATGATGATGGTGCTGTAGGTGGTGATGGTGATAGTGGTGATGGTGATGCTGGTGATGATGATGAGGGTGGTGATGCTGGTGGTGGTGATGGTGATGGTGCTGGTGATTATTTTGATGATGATGGTGATGATGATGGTGATGGATTTTGGTGGTGATAATGATAATGCTGGTGATGATGATGACGAGGGTGATGATGACCGTCGTGGTGATGGTGATGGTGCTGGTGATTCTTGTGATGATGATGATGTTGATGTTGATGATGATGATGATGATGATGATGATGATGATGATGGTGGTGGTGGTAATGGTAATGGTGACTGTGCTGGAGATGGCGATGATGAACATGGTGGTGATGATGATGGTGCTGGTGCTGGTGTTGCTGCCGACAATGATGATAATGATGTTGATGATTATGATTATGATGATGATGGTGATGATGCTGCTGCTGCTGATGATGATGCTGATGATGACGATGATGGAGATGCTGATGATGATGATGATGATGATGATGATGATGATGATGATGATGATGATGCGATAATGACGGTGGTCATTCGGATTCTGATGGTGATGCTGATGCTGATGCTGATGATGATGGTGATCGTGGTGATAATGGTACTGATGACGGTGATGGTGATTTCCTTCTAGCCCTGGATGCGCCGAAACACTTCGTGACCGACAAGGCTGGCTCGCACGGGACTCTGCTCTAGCCCATCGGGAGCCTGGCTTGCCTTTCGCGGTTCTCCATATGGACACCCTGGCTGCGGATCGAAAAGGAGGATCGACGAGGTGAATCGAGGGTGAGGGGGATCGAGGAGGAGATGGTCATCCATGGTCACCAATGGACACTCACACGCGGTCCATCCATGGCACGGCGCTGGCGCCAACTGACACGACCCCCAAGGGAAAGCGCACGGAACTCACGCTTGAGCTCCCCTCTGGAGGCTACGGCAAGCTCGTGTCGTGCCGACTTCGCCGTTGGCTTCCGACACCGTGGGGATCGTTCGACATTGAACGCTCGACCGTTTCCGACACGTCGGGTCGTTCAGCATCGCAAGCGCTCGACGTTTCAACGCCGGCGGCGGGGTCGCTGCCGGTCGACACGACGCGAACCTGCCGTAGGAGGCAACTCCTGGGAGGCTCTCGGCGTCCCGGGAGGGTGGGATGGGGGGGTATCTGACGGATCTGTTTAGGGAGCCCACAAAGGACGTACGCGCCCAACCACGTACGTGAGTGAATATGGCTCAGCGCCCCTTTAACGGGGACTCCACTGACGGGTACGTTGGCCAGTGACCTGGCGAACCCAACTCTCCCCGATGTGGGCAACGCTGCAATGCCAGAAAGAAACCCCCAAATGGCAACTTTCGGCAACATGGCAAGAAGCACCCGTTAGTGAGCACCCGTTCCGGTGCCGCGGAATGGCCCCCCCAGTCCGCGAGACCGGCCGCGTGATACAAATGTTTTGCGCAATGCGTGCTCTCGAAACCGACTTGGACTCATGTGCGTGTGCGCCCTTCTGTCAGGGGGACGTAAGACCTGGGTACAGGGGACTCGGAAATCCCCGACGAGGTCGTCAAAAAAATGACGAGGCCGAGCCTGCATTTTGACGAGGCCTCCCGCTGCAGACATCCCACGACACTCCTACTCGTCAAAATCCGAGTCACGGTCGTCAAAAAACGATGGCGAACCCGAGTCCTCGCAAACCCGGGTCTTACGCTCCCCCGATCATGTGCGTGTGCGCCCTTCTGTCGCTCCTGACTGTTGGCGGCGCCCACGCGGGGGGCGGCCTCCTGAGCAGGCGGGGCCCGGCCACCGAAGGGGGCCCCCGACATACCACAGGAGCCAGGGCCGTACAGCGGGGGCCCATGCCGAGAAACACCCTGCCGCTTGCCTCCCGGGTGCCCCGGCTTCCTCGGGGTTCGAGGGTTTTGCGACGCATCGCGCGACGCGTCCACGCCAGAAATGAGTGGACGTCCTGGGGTCCCAGGGTTGGGCTTCTTGTGGAAGCTTTCTTGTGGACTGGCCTCCGCTGCACTTTCCCTCTGCTGCCCCGGCTTCCTCGGGGTTCGAGGGTTTTGCGACGCATCGCGCGACGCGTCCACGCCAGAAATGAGTGGACGTCCTGGGGTCCCAGGGTTGGGCTTCTTGTGGAAGCTTTCTTGTGGACTGGCCTCCGCTGCACTTTCCCTCTGCTGCCCCGGCTTCCTCGGGGTTCGAGGGTTCTGCGACGCATCGCGCGACGCTCCCACGCCAGAAATTAGTGGACGTCCTGGGGTCCCAGGGTTGGGCTTCTTGTGGAAGCTTTCTTGTGGACTGGCCTCCGCTGCACTTTCCCTCTGCTGCCCCGACTTCCTCGGGTTTCGAGGGTTTTGCGACGCATCGCGCGACGCTCCCACGCCAGAAATTAGTGGACGTCCTGGGGTCCCAGGGTTGGGCTTCTTGTGGAAGCTTTCTTGTGGACTGGCCTCCCTGCACTTTCCCTCTGCTGCCCCGGCTTCCTCGGGGTTCGAGGGTTTTGCGACGCATCGCGCGACGCTCCACGCCAGAAATGAGTGGACGTCCTGGGGTCCCAGGGTTGGGCTTCTTGTGGAAGCTTTCTTGTGGACTGGCCTCCGCTGCACTTTCCCTCTGCTGCCCCGGCTTCCTCGGGGTTCGAGGGTTCTGCGACGCATCGCGCGACGCTCCCACGCCAGAAATTAGTGGACGTCCTGGGGTCCCAGGGTTGGGCTTCTTGTGGAAGCTTTCTTGTGGACTGGCCTCCGCTGCACTTTCCCTCTGCTGCCCCGGCTTCCTCGGGGTTCGAGGGTTCGACGCATCGCGCGACGCTCCCACGCCAGAAATTAGTGGACGTCCTGGGGTCCCAGGGTTGGGCTTCTTGTGGAAGCTTTCTTGTGGACTGGCCTCCGCTGCACTTTCCCTCTGCTGCCCCGGCTTCCTCGGGGTTCGAGGGTTTTGCGACGCATCGCGCGACGCTCCCACGCCAGAAATTAGTGGACGTCCTGGGGTCCCAGGGTTGGGCTTCTTGTGGAAGCTTTCTTGTGGACTGGCCTCCGCTGCACTTTCCCTCTGCTGCCCCGGCTTCCTCGGGATTCGAGGGTTTTGCGACGCATCGCGCGACGCTCCCACGCCAGAAATTAGTGGACGTCCTGGGGTCCCAGGGTTGGGCTTCTTGTGGAAGCTTTCTTGTGGACTGGCCTCCGCTGCACTTTCCCTCTGCTGCCCCGGCTTCCTCGGGGTTCGAGGGTTATGCGACGCATCGCGCGACGCTCCCACGCCAGAAATTAGTGGACGTCCTGGGGTCCCAGGGTTGGGCTTCTTGTGGAAGCTTCTTGTGGACTGGCCTCCGCTCCGCACTTTCCCTCTGCTGCCCCGGCTTCCTCGGGGTTCGAGGGTTTTGCGACGCATCGCGCGACGCTCCCACGCCAGAAATTAGTGGACGTCCTGGGGTCCCAGGGTTGGGCTTCTTGTGGAAGCTTTCTTGTGGACTGGCCTCCGCTGCACTTTCCCTCTGCTGCCCCAGCTTCCTCGGGGTTCGAGGGTTTTGCGACGCATCGCGCGACGCTCCCACGCCAGAAATTAGTGGACGTCCTGGGGTCCCAGGGTTGGGCTTCTTGTGGAAGCTTTCTTGTGGACTGGCCTCCGCTGCACTTTCCCTCTGCTGCCCCGGCTTCCTCGGGGTTCGAGGGTTTTGCGACGCATCGCGCGACGCTCCCACGCCAGAAATTAGTGGACGTCCTGGGGTCCCAGGGTTGGGCTTCTTGTGGAAGCTTTCTTGTGGACTGGCCTCCGCTGCACTTTCCCTCTGCTGCCCCAGCTTCCTCGGGGTTCGAGGGTTTTGCGACGCATCGCGCGACGCTCCCACGCCAGAAATCAGTGGACGTCCTGGGGTCCCAGGGTTGGGGTTCTTGTGGAAGGTCTCTTGTGCACTGGCCTCCTCTTGGAAGACGCCGTTGCTTTCGTGCCCCCCCCCGCGGGTGGCCTGCGCGGCGCGGCCACCCTCTGGTGGTCTGCGGGTCGAGCTGGGTTTCGGCCCGATCTCGAAGTTCAGCACTTAGTTAGAAGCAACTGCAGAACTGGCAGGCAATCGTTTGTCGATGCGGAACTGTGTAGTGCACGGGTCTGCGTGGACGGGGGCGCCGAGGTGTTCATGATTGGAGTCGTGCTCCGACTGTAATGTCCGTGCTGCAGCTGTTCTCCTGCGAGTCGACTTGCTTTTGGACCTGCTCTCGAGTTTTAGAGCAGCTGCAGAGCCCTCGAGCATAGCCTTGACGGCAAGCGTCGGAGACACAAGTCTACGACCTCGAAGGCGCCGATGTCGCTTCGCTTGTCGAACAGTGCAATCAAAACTGATAGCACGAATGCGCGAGAAGGATGCAAGCTGCAGGCCCCTTGGACGCCCGTGTTGAAGCTCGTTCGAGCGCGGCGGGCCAGCGAGAGCAGTCAAGGATGGATGAAGGAGGCACGGATGCAAGAGTACCCTTCGGGAGGGTGCCCATCCTTTCTGCGGAAAGGCCATTGGGTACGATGAGGAATCCAGAGTCTGAAGATGGCAGATCTCCAATCGTGGAGCGGCCATGAATATTACCGCCGCTCCCGTTGGAGAAAGAATCCTCGAGGGTATGAGGCCTCCTGGGCACCTTCCTTGACGAGCGCCTCCACCGTACCCGTGAAGCATCGTAGAGTTCAGTGGCAACTCATGGGAGCCTCCCTGCCATCTTGCTGGCCGACGGCAGTAGGCGCGAATCGGCGACGAACGACGCCGGATCGAGGCTGATCGACGCTATCGCATCGATTACCAAACGCTGCTCGACGCGGAACACCCGACCGTACCGCAGAACCTGGGACCGACCAACCTCTTCCAAGAGCAGGACCCTCCGCCTGCCAAGCTGACAAACGCTCGAGGGCACCCCTTCCCAGGGATGGACGAGAGCATCCCGCACGCACGAAGAACGCGAGGGCACCTTCCCCGAACCGACCTCGATCCATACCGCGCTCCGACCGCACCGCATCGCGCCCCACGGATCTCGTCCATCGGGGGGGGGGGGGGGGCGTTGGGCCCGCGCCCCGGACCCCCGACGCCGTGATTTTCTTCAGAACGTCGACCCCCCAGAGAGCTCCTCCTCCCCTCCTCCCCCCCTCCTCCTCCTCCTCCTCCTCCTCCTCCTCCTCCTCCCCTCCTCCTCCCTCCGCCTCCTCCTCCTCCTCCTCCTCCTCCTCCTCCTCCTCCTCCTCCTCCTCCTCCTCCTCCTCCTCCCCCTCCCCCTCCCCCTCCTCCTCCTCCTCCTGTCCCTGCTCCCCCTCTCGCCACCCCTCCTCCTCTCTGCCCCTGCTCGCCCCCTCCCGCCCTCCCGGGCCGCCTCCCTTGCCCGCCTTAACGGGGCCCCGCGGGGGTCCCCGCGGGGCCGAGCACGCGGCGAACCCGGCCCGCCGCTGCTCGACGCCACTGTCCACGCCAGACGCCGGCCCGAGCCGCGCGCGCGGAGCCCCGTCTCGCGAGGGAGGGGCGCTCCTCGACGAGGACGTCGAGCCGGGCCTGCTCCTCCGCGGCGCCCGCCTGCCCCTCCCGCAGCCGGGCGGCCAGGGCGTCCTCCGCGGCCGTGGCGCGGGCCCTCTCGGCCCGCGTCTTCTCCTCGGAGGTCGGCCGCGCGCCAGGGAGGGGCCCCGGGCACGAGGGGCCCTCTGGCGCGCGGGCTGCCCAGGCCTCCCGGCGTCTCGACAAGATCGAGGCGGAGGTTTTTCATAGCCTGTGGCCTCCGGGGTGCCCTCCACGGGCCCCGGGGCCTTCAACAAGAAGACTCGGGAGGAGAAACCGGTCCAGGGGAGGTGGTAAGGAGGTCGTGGCGTCTCGATCTCCTCGAGACGCGGGACCCCGACCGCTCCACCACCTTCCCGGGGCCGGTTTCTCTTCCCAAGCCGTTTTCTGAAGGTCCTGGGGCCCGTTGAGGGTCTCCAGAGGCCACAAGCTATGAAAAACCTCCGTCTCGATTTCCGAGAGGCCAGGATGTCTGGGGAAGGGAGCGTGGGGTGGCAAAATCCAGGCGCGCAAGCAGCTGCTAACGCGTCGGGCTCAGCGATCGAGGGGACCCCGATGAGCCCGCACCAGAGGTCGCACTGGCGAAGGGTCACTCTTACGTCGTAGTCGAGGAGAGCAGAAGAGACACCCTCACAACAGAGCTCGACCAAGTATGTTTTTCGTTTTCGCTTTGCTTTTTTCTGCTCCCCATGCCTTGTCTGCAATCCGCCTCTGCTGCAAACTAAGTCAAAACGAAAACGGCCCACGAAATCGCCCAAACACCGTTAAACACCCTGGGGGCCGCGTTTGGGGGCGTCTGGCTTTGCCTGCGCCTCCGCCCCCTCGCTCTTATCCGCAAGTAGGGGGTGCTACGTGAGCACCCCGACAAGCGAGGCCATCCAAAGAACGCACCCAGGGAAGGGCTCGACCAGGGCAGGGCGCTTTCCTAAACGCCCATGGCCGTTCCAATTGTGGGGGTCGGGGTGGCGTTCCCTCCCTGGACTCCTCCAACTCCGCGGCCAAGTCGTCCTCCCGCTTCAGGGCCCGCGCCGCCTCTGCGATCACCTTCGTCACCAACGCCCCCTCCGCGGCTCGCGCCACCTCCGCCTGCACCTTCTCGTCCACCTGGGCTGCCAGAGAGTCCTCCAGCCGCGCTGCCAGATCCTTCTCTGCGGCTGTCGCACGCGCCTCGTCCGCCCCAGCCTTGACCTCCAGCTGCACGGCCAAATTGACCTCCGCGGCCGTGGCGCGTTCCTCCTCCGCCTGGATCTTCTCGTCCAGCCGCGCACCTAACAGGGGAGGGACCAACACATAACATAAACATACACTTTTGGGAGTTCGTGCGGACTTCTCGGATCGGCGCTGGACACCCCCTCTCTGGCGCGCGGAGCGCGCCAAGGGCGGCGCTGGAGGTGCCGCCAAGGAGCTCTGGCGCCGATCCGAGAAATCCGCGCGGACCTCCGACAGTTTGTGCCTATGCCATGTTTGGCTCCCCGACCCCAGGCTTCTTCTGCGGCTGTTGCGCGAAGCCGTTTAGAAATCGCAGCCAGAGGAAGGAATCGATCAGGACAGGGCTGTTTCGTGTACGCCCAGGGCCGTGCAGTGAGCGCCACTTATGGGGGGGGGGGGCGGGGTGGTTCTTCTTCATCTGCACCTAAAGCTTCTTCTGCGGCCGTTGCGCGTGCTTTCTCCTCTTGTACCTTCTCCGTCAGCTGAGCTGCCAGCGAGCGCTCCAGCCGCGCCACCAAATTCTTCTCCGATGCTGCCGCGAGGGTCTCGTCCGCCCGAGTCTTGCCCTCCAGCTGCGCTGCCAGGGCCCCCTCGGCGGCCGTGGCGCGCTCTTCCTCCGCCTGGATCTTGTCGTCCAGCCGCGCAGCCAGAGCTCTGGCGCGCGCCTCCTCCGCCTGCGCCCCCTCCTCCAGCTGCGCAGCCAGCACCTTCTCTGCGGCCTGGGCCCGCGACTCCTCCGCCCGAATCCTCGCCGACTGCGCCTCCAGAGCGTCCTCCGCGGCTGAGGCGCGCGACTCCTGCGCCTGCAGCTTCTCCTCCAGCGTCGTCGTCAGGAAGAGCAGGGCGCGCGCCTCCTCTGCCTGCGCCTTGTCCTCCAGCTTTGCAGCCAGGGCCTCCTCCGCGGCCGTGGCGCGCGCCTCCTCGGCCCGCGTCTTCTCATTCAGCTGTGCAGCCAGTGCTTCCTCCGCAGCGGTGGCGCGCGCCTTTTCGGCCTGAGTCTTCTCCTGCAGCTCCGATGTCAGCGCTGCCCCCGCCTCCAAGCTGCGCGCCACGCTTGCGATCTCCGCCTGCACCTTCGCTGCGATCTCCCCTTCCGCGGCTTCTGCTCTCGCCACCTCTGCCTGCACCTTCTCGTCCAGCTGGGACACCTGATTCAAGCTGGCCAGCTCGCTTACCTGCTGTGGGAGGCGGGAGGCCAGGGAAATTAATTGTGGTGGTGGTGTGGGTGCGTGGGGAGGGGGCAAGGAGAAACCCGGAGAGGTGATGTGCCTAGCGAGGGAATACGGGATGCAAGGTCGTGTGTGTGTGTGTGTGTGTGTTTGTGTGTGTGTTTGTGTGTGGGGGTGCGCCACATCGATGGAACAGTCCCTCTGCCCAGCAGCCGACGACGTGAATCGAGCAAGGTCGCACAGTCCGACCTAGGCCAGAAACGCATCCCTCAATAACATGTGACCCTCCGTCGACCCAAACAAACAGAGTATCCAAGGGCACCCTCCCCAGGGTGCACAGGAACATCCAACAAACACGACGAATATCAGGGTACCCTCCCCGAACCGACCTCGATCTTATACCTCGGTCCGACTGCAATCGACTCGAAAGGGAGCCCCTTCCCTCTGATCTCTTCCCCGGTTTCCCCTTCCCTGGAGAGTTTCGGGCGATCTTGTTGCCAATGTGGCCCGCTAGAGCCCTCCTGGGGCCAACCTTGACACTCTCGTGGGTCTCACGGGCCGTCTTGGAGCCCAGGGGCCAACCCGACAAGCCCAAATGTTATGAAATTCGCAATGTTGGTTGTGTTTGCGATTTGACGCTTATCGCAGCATCGTCCGCAAGACCGTCCAAGATGGCCCAAGAACCCCAAAGAACAACCCACGATGCTCCAAGATGCCCCTGAGAAGGACCAGGACCCATGATGTCCACCCCCCAAAGCTGGCCCAAGATGAATCCCAACATACGCCCCCTTCGCACCGCTGCACGCCAACGACTCCAACATGATCCCATGACCCTCAAGAGGTCCACAAGACGCACACAAGTGGGCCACACATGACCTCAAGAGCTCCCCGAGACGCCCGTCAAGATCCACCAGCATGTCCCCCACGCCCCTGGAACACGGCCCAAGCAAAATGGCGGGATGGACCGAGGACCGTTCGATGTCCGTCCTCACAATACGGTTGGCGTTGGAGAGGTAGCGGGCAACATCGTTCTCCCAAAAGCACGATCTCCCTGTGAGGCGATCCTTCCGCGAGGGCCTGTGCGCGCGCTATGAGGAGGAGGATGAAACAGGAGGAGGAGCAGGATGATGAGGAGGAGGAGGAGGAAGAGGAGGAGGAGGGAGGAGCCCCCCTGCCAGGGCCTCTTCGGTGCACGCTGCCCCCCAAGGCGGGGGATCACGTGTGATGAACGGGCCAGCGGCGCCGCATCCCACGTTATCTTTCCGACGCCAGCCGGAAAACCACCACTGCTCTCGCTGTGTCGCTCCCACCTTTTGCGTCCAACCTGGTCGCTTCCCAAGGTCGACAGAAAAAGACGACATGCGTTCTAGCGCGCTTGCACGGAAGATGAGGTTGACGATGGCGCATGTTGGTAATGGGTTCGAACTCCGTTGCTGAGCCTATGTCGCTCGCTGGTTCCCTATTGCAAACATGTCTACAACAACAAAACCATACACGTATGTTTATCTTTGTTAGTCTGTCACAAATAAGAGAATCCGTCGCGGCCCGCTCACGGGAGAACCCGTCTAAACGGCACTTTGAATGACCACTTTGGAGAGTCCGTCAAGGCGCTCTCACCAGATGAACACGCCCATTGGTATCCACCCCTCTGAGCCAAGCCAAAAACTCTACAAGAAAACTCCAAGACGGCCTTCGGAGCCGACAAGAAGGCGCCCGTGCCATCCTGCAGAAGCTCAATGATCCCTCAACGGCTCCAAGATGCCCCCGAGAAGTCGAGAGGCCCTAAAGCGCCTCCAACACGTGCCCAAAGAGGATTCCACGATGTACGAAAAGGAATCTTGTTCACCCTGAAGAGGGGTCCTAGGCTTGTCGGCTCAAGTCGGGGATGGACAGACCCCCCTTTAGTAAAACGTGGTTTAGTGAAAACGACCTCGGGCCCGAACCTGGCGGGCGCAAGCCTGGAAAATGACGGCCGCGGCGCCCTCTCGAGAACCGAAAACGGGCATGCCACTAATCGACGTGTCAGGGTAGGAGGTCTGTCCACCCCCGATCAAGATGGTCAGGCCGACGCTTTGGAGAGGCCGCGAGGCTCTCAACGCATCCACATCAGTGACGATCGAGAACTGGTCCTACGCGAGACGAGACAGCGACTGGCCATCGCTCGGACGTCCATTCCCTGTGTTTTTTTGGTTTTGCGCGTGGTTTTTTCGCCAAATGATCAAGGATGCTCCTCGATGGTCCTCGCCGAAGGAAACATGCACACGTCCGAGCGATGCCGAGAGATGGGGTCCGAGCAGATGGGGTGGGAGGATCGTGCCGCATCGACGGCGCATCGGCGATGCGGCTAGATGTGGAGCCCAATTTTCTCCACGCTGGCGTCGCCGATGCATCGCCGATGCATCGGCGACGCATCGCCGATGCGTCGGCGACATATCGCCGATGCATCGGCGATGCGGCGCGATCCTCCGGCCCCACCGGCTCCGACCCCATCTAGGAGGCCTCTAGCTAACGCGCGACCTTACGCGGGGAGCTTACGTGTCAATGTCGGCGCACTTGGACTCGATATTTTTCGTCGCTCACATGGTAGTCCGAGAACCCCTCAAGCAACCAAATACCGCCACCAAGACTGCCCATCGACCTACCTGGACGATAGCTCAACCAAGCCTCATCCGGGGAGCTTGGTCGAAACATCCCGCAGAAGCCAGCCACGAGACCCCCAACAGGCTCCCAAGAGGCGGCCCACAACCATATTCCAAGACACTTCTAAGACGTCACCCAAACGCAATGCAAACAACCAGCCACCGTGGCTGCGCCACGCTACGTTATGGTCTGGCACAGGATGATCTTGCCGAGCCTGGTCGGAGCGATCGGCAGTGCCACCCTGCATGCACTTCCATGCTGCGCTGGCACGACGACGGGGCTTGCCGCGAGCAGCTGCACGCGAGGGTGGACCAGAGAGGAGAGTGGGTGGCAACAACACGACCTTTCGTGTGAGATCTGTGCTGTGGAGCGCTGATCCTCCTCTGGCATTGGAGAAGACACGGCAGCACAAAACCATAAACGTCCGGAGGTCCGCGCGGACTCCACGGCCAGGGGAGTCCGGCGCCGTAGTCCCAGAAATCCGCGCGGACCTCCGACAGTAAATTTGACTCTGCTTGCGCAACTGCTTTGTTCCTCGGCCAGGGGCGTCGCCTTGCCCTGCAGCTGCGCAACCTTCGCCTCCTGACTCGCCAGCGCCTCCCGCAGCAAGCTGTGCTCCTGCGTGGGGGAGGCGGGGGCGTGGCGAACGGGCGCGAGCACCGGCGGGAGCGGGCGGCGGGGCAGGCAGGTTATCCTCGTGCTCCTCCTGTTCCTCCTCCTCCTCTTCCTGTTGATGCGGCTGTCGTAGGCTGTTTTTCCTGCTCCCGGCCCGCCTCCCCGATCGAGTCAAGAGAAGGCATGCAGGACGATGGGGGCACGACGACGACGCAGCAATCACAACAAGTCCTTCCTGTGTCCGCGTTGGAGCTGCAGGGGCAGGGGAGGGGTGTGGGAACATCCGACTGTATGGGGCAGGTAATGGCAGGAGGGGCCGTGTGAGGGAGGAGTGAGGGGGGAGAGGCGCGAGTAGGAGGAGGAAAGGGTGAGAAGCAAGAGGGAGGAGGAGAAGGAGGAGGATGAGGAGGAAGAGGAGGAGGAGGAGGAGGAGGAGGAGGAGCAGGAGCAGGAGGAGGAGGATGAGGAGAAAGGAGAGAGGAGCAGGAGCAGGAGGAGGAGGAGGAGGTCAAAATCAAGGCCGTTGGAGGTCAAGGTGAAGGTCTTTCGGGAAGGCCGGACAATTGCGGGCCAAACGCCACCTCCGCGCATTCCCGCCTCCACCTCCCCCCCCCGCCTTTCTACCACCCCCACCTCCTGATCCGACGTCACATGCGCGCCGCCGCGTGCCGTGCCTGCTTGCTATCGGCGTTCCTTCTCTTCGGATGGTTCTGCTGTTTGTTTTCTTGTGCGCTGCACTTGTGTGGAATAAAATGATGTGCGTTTTCTAAAAATATTCGGTGAACAAAGACAAAGGGGGGCAACCCGCGGAACGGCGAGAGCACCCCGATGGGAAGCAACGAACGTAGGGTGAATCCACGTGCCCACTGACGGTAATGTAATTCTTAAAAAATGGAAACGTGCGGATGTTGGCAATCTGCCTGCACAACGGGCTCCTGACCTGGTCCTTCCAATATCGCGTGTCCCCTGTCTGTGGGGCTATTTTCAATACCTTCAATATCCCTAACTTGATTTCCGAACTCTTTGTCGCGAGTGCGTGCGGCGTATTCTGCCTCTGCGTCTCGCACTCTTGCTTTTCGAAGTCACACTGTCGAATCGACATGCGGCACAAGAAGGCATGGTGGCGGCGGCAATTACGGTGGCGACACGAGTACGGTAAGCGGAATGAGCTGTGTGCGCCGATGCCCTCCAGACTCCCACCGCCTCCAGTAACGAACTGGTGAGGACCTGGGTGCGACCACTGGGGTGTGATCCTAGACTCCGAACGGCTGGTCTATGGGTCGACGCCCTCAAGCAGCATCTTAGGAGGAGGAGGACGAGGAGGAGGAGGAGGACGAGCAAGAGGAGGAGGAGGAGGAGGAGGCGGAAAAGGAGGAAGAGATCAAGAGGAGGACCGACATCATGCTTTTGCAAATGCGCGGTCCCAAAAGCTTCAAAGCCCCAACCAAGGTTCATCATATTTCTGGTAGCCCCCGGGGACGACAAACGCCGCTCGAAGCCGAAGACAAAGAACCCTCACCGTCTTGTTTTTAGCCGCGGCGCTGGAGATATGTACAAGGGGTACAGGGCGAAAGAGGACTGAGGAAGGAGGAGGGAGGAAGGACGTGGGAGGAGCGAGGAGGGAGGAGGAGAAGGGATGAGGAAGAGGGAGGAAGAGGATGAGGAGGAAGCGGAGGAGGAGGCGGAGGAGGAGGAGGAGGGGCCATGGGGACGGGGGGGGGGGGTGGTCGAGAAACTCCTGCTCCAGCCTG